TGTTCAGCATGGTACTAAAGGATTTAGGTGGAGCACAAAGAAAAAGTAAAGAAAGTGAAATGCAGGGTGCATGTCTTGGAAAGAAAGCTATCTACAGACAACATAGGTTTCTAGATAGAGAATCCCATGGCATCAACACACCCACAAAAAGTTAATGCAACTAATCAGTTTTGTAGGCCTGTGCCTATGTATTAGCAGTGGAACATTCAGGAAGTAATATGTAAAATATCTTCTAAAAGAATGTCAGCAATATGAAAAGTTAAATACAAATCTTACAAAACGTGTGAGTTCTGTAAGGTGGTAGCAATGGAAGATAGGCCTGTCTCCCTAAGCCCACAGGGTACATGACAGTGCTATTGTTGGCATCTTCTGTCCCATCACACCTGGTTTAGGTCCTCTCTAGGAGTCTGTTTCAAGGTCATCCACAAGTCACTGTCTTTTACTGGGTCTTCCAGACGCCAGCTTTTCTTTTTTTTTTTTTTTTTTTTTTTTTGGTTTTTAAGAGACAGGGTTTCTCTGTATTGTTTTGGAGGTTGTCGGTCCAGCCCAGCCTCGAACTCACAGCGATCCGCCTGCCTCTGCTTCATTTCCTTCCCCTCTCTTTTCCTTCCTTTTACTTTCTCTTTCTCCTTCCCCTCTTCCTCTCTCCTTTCCTTCCAACACTCTTCCTTTCTTCACTCCTTCCTTTCCTTCCATTGGGCTTTGCTGTGCGGCTCAAGAAAGCTGGTGTACAACCTACTATGTAACCTCAGACTCCCGATCTTCCTGCCTCAGACTGCACAGGGGTACAAAAGTTACCCTGTGGTACAGAGGTTTGCCACCACCCCAGGTCATGCCTTCTCTTAAACACTAATTAAATAAGAAGTTTGTTTGCTTAGCCTCAGAGGTCATTTCCACTTTCTTCTTTCTGTTCGTTGAGTAAATCATTACAGCCAGTCCAGATTAAAGGGGAGGTAAGTAAACATCGTGTATACATCCGGTGGGGAGTAATTCAGTATAGCTTTTCAAGGTTAAAGGGTATTGACTTTCATTGACTACAATGATCATAGTAAAGGAAGACCACTTAGGGAAATTGTATTTCAGTTATACTCAGAAGAGATCAACAGATTGAAAGACCCCAACATGGAAGTGTGGGCTTGACAGGTGCTTATAGAAAAAGGGAACATAGACATAACTTAGAGACTGATTATAGAAGCAAAGATGGCAGCGCTACTTAGACTCTCAATTTTATAGTAAGTTTAGAGGCTGGGAGATGCTCAGTCATTATAGTATCTGTCTTGCAAGCACAAGGACTAAGTTCAGTCCTTAGAACTCAAGTGAGAAATGTCATGCATGGGGGGGCACTCTTGTAACATCTACACTGGGGAGGCAAAGACAGATAGGCAGGGCCTGAGAAATGAGACTTGAGGTTGTCCTCTGACCTTAACATGCATTCACACATGTACAGAAACCAACCCCCCACACACAAAATATAAAAACATAGAAAAGTAAATCAAAGGTGATTTAATGGGAGGTCATGCTCTTGTCTAGAATATGACTGAGTCCAAGAGTTTCAATAGATATTTCTTGGGCAACAGGGAGAATCATGGGACACAGCCTACTGGTCCACAGAATTTCAGTTACTGGTGCTCAGGTTTGAGCAATCATGAAACAGACAAACGTCAAGAGAAGTGGGAGGGGGGAGGGAGGGGAAGGGAAGGAAGAGGAGAGGGAAAGGAAGGGAAGGGAAGGGAGAGGAGGGTGAAAGGAAGCTGGGAGGAGAGTGTCCTCTGCCAGTCTGGTTCTGCTGGTGTAGCAGTACATGGACATGCGACTCTGTTAATGTGTGACACAAGCCAGGCACACACGCTCTTTCAGTTATTTGCCATCATTGAGCAAGATTAAACGGCAATGAAGCAAATAATTGGCTTGTCACATGTGTCCTTATCCCCTCCACTTACGACGGAAGTTAAAAAGAAATGGCTCATTGCCCTGATGTCTGCTATGAATTCACATTGGCCTTCACCTCCAGTTTGCCTGTGGCCTTCTGCTTGGTAAAGGGCTGGGGGAAAATTCATGGTACGTTGGCTAGAAAGACAATCTCAGAAGCCCATGAAAAACTGCTTAGAGAAAGGGGGGACAGTGAACTTCTTAAAACTGAGATGTTTCAGTGATAGGGGTTCAAAGTGCCTGTTTGGAGGTCAGCGATGGAAAATGTGTGTGACAGGAGCAGAACAACTAGGCTGTACAAGGAAGTCCATCTGGGACAGTGGTTTCAAGTCTGTGTTGTGGTTCTGTGAGAGGTTCCTGGAAGTTCCACAAATAGCAAAAATAGGTGTAGCAAGTTGAGATTCACAGAGGCCCTGCCTGTAAAAACATCATTGTCTATAAATGCATATGCAGTTCTCTATATGTTATGAATTCTCATTCTTTCTGGTGATAGGGAAAAAAATTACTACTTGAGAGCTGTTCTGTGTTTACTGACTCAAGACCCAGGATCTTTGCCGGTAACAACACACTCTTCATAATTCTTTGCCCTCATATTTTTCTAACTGGAAGACATGGGGGGAGGGGTGGTGAAGGTGAAGGAGATTGGAGTTGCTTCATCTCCAGGGAGGGTTTCTGATCCACAACTCATCCTGTGGTTTTACAAACTGTAGCTGAGCCCGTGATTATCCTTCCAGTCTCATTTTCTATAGCTTTTTACGGGTTTGGGCTCGCAGACCTGGCCCCTTAGGAATGTCTGGAGACTCCTGGATCCTTTACTGGAATGTAGTAGGATGCACTCTTTGGGCACGAGACTTTGTTATGACTCCGATGGAACCTAGGACTGTCAACAGCAGAGTTAGTGGTGTATGTTATGATGCCACGTGTGAGCATGCTCAGAACATTTGTGTAGTGCCAAGAACTGGACAGGGTGACAAGAAAGGGGCCATCTGTGCTTACACAGATTCCAGTTGAGGAGTGGAGTAAAGTGGCCACGCGTAAGTTATCTAGAGAAAGGGAGCCAAAGGAAAGTGAATCAGAGGGAGGACACCCAACACATCGAGGAAGAAGGCGATACCAAGGTCTTGGGGAAAACCTTTGAGATCATAAGGCGAAAGGGGGAGATCTCTAAGTCCTATCTCTTGGAATGTGCATTTGAGAGCCCTGTCTACATGCAGACACCTGTGTGCCTCCAGGACATGTAGGGTTCAGGTGGGGGGAATGGGTCATAAAAAGAAAAAAATCCTTATGGTGCATGCCCTGCTACTTGGAAGGCTGAGTAGGTGGATTATGTGACTTCAAGTCCACTCGGGACTTCAAGGTCACCCTAGACAACCCAGTGAGACTGTCTCAAGTGCAGATAAAGCATACATTTTGTCTCCCCATTATTGCACCAATCAATTTTGCTACTTGTCAATTGCTGTAAGATCTTTCAGTATATAAATGCCCAGGCAAGTTTATGTTTACCAACATAAAGCTTCCATATTGCTGCTCCATATATTTATTTTGTTTGTAACGGAATATAACCCAGGGCCTGGCATGTGCTAGGCAGGTGCTCTACCACTAAGTGATATCTCCAGTCCACAATTTCAAGTTAGACACACCTGATTTAGCATTCATTAAACTGCCACTTATAATAGGACCACCACGTGATCTGAAACTGCTCCTGGATGTGTCCCTTAAAGAGTCTAAGTCAGCATGCAGACACTGGCAATACCCATCTATGAGGCTGCATTGTTTTTCACAATCAGATCATGAAGGCTTTCAATCGATAAATGATAAAGAAAGGGCAAGTACATAAAATTAACTATCATTCCGATGTAAAGAGTCAAATGCAGCCAGGATAAAATCAGACTATTTTTAGGAAAATTAATGGAATTGTTGGCAATCATGTTAAGCATTATTAAGTAGACTAAAAGGAGACAAATGTCATGTTTCCTCTCATGGAGAGATATTAAATGGAAGTAAAGAACATGGCCATAGAAGGATGACTATAAGATATTGGGGGGTAGATATGATTGAACTGTTATGTATATGTGGATTATCACATTTAATGTATAATTACTGTGCGCAGTTAATATGCAGTTAATAAAAAGAGAAATGGGGGTGGAAACTACCACAGTACACATCTGTTGAAACAGCTTTGAGGTAGAAGACTCGGTCTGATGGGAGCTGTGCAATGGAGTCACCTGGAAGTTGTAAAAAACACTGACACCAGCCGGGCGGTGGTGCCGCACGCCTTTAATCCCAGCACTCGGGAGGCAGAGGCAGGCGGATCTCTGTGAGTTCGAGGCTGGGCTGGACCGATAGCCTCCAAAACAATACAGAGAAACCCTGTCTCGTAAAAAACAAAAAAACCAAAAAAACAAAAAAACAAAAAAAACCCACTGACACCAGTAGCCCTCAGTAATTACGACATGACATTTCTGACCACAAGAAAAGGCCAGGTCTTGTTATGATTGCGAATGTAGGCAAGGCTGTGGCATACTGACTCATGGGGCAGTTAATGAGTTTGCATAGTACCATGTCACTGGTGGACTTAAGCCTGCCTCTCTGAGAAAAAGGAACAGTTCAAATATCTGGAAGCAGATAAGTGAGAAACATCTGTCCTGTTAGGCCATAGGCAGCATCTCCGATAAACTGCTGACGCTCACCGGTGTATGTTTCCAGAATTGCCCCAGGTGACTTCAGCCCTGAGTTTCTGCAGGTGCTTATGGGAATGTGGCATCCAGGGCCTGCCCACCCTGGAAGACTTGCAGGAAATGGCCATGTGCTCTGGAAGGAGCAATCAATCAATCATTGTTTAATTGCAGTTGCATTGCAGCGTGACCTGTCATAACCGGGAAAGAAGTACCTTGACTATTCTTGATTTTTGGGGGGGAAGAGGCATGACTTTTTCTTTGCAATAGTTAAGTACTAGAATTAACTAGGTTATGAGACAAGAGAAAGGGTTGTTCAGCCTGACATATAACAGTAATGCAACCAAAGTATACAAGCTCTGTGCCAGTGCTCATTTAATCTCTACCCCTCCACAGGACGCTGCTGCGAGCATTTTAACCAAAGAGGAAATTGAGGTATCACAAATTTAGTCGAGTTCACAAAGCCAGTTGGAGGCATCCAGCGCCAGGCTCCAGAAGTTGTTCTGGGCACAGAACTATTGATTGTTCACCTCAGGATCTGACTAGCTGCGGGTCACTGGCTAAGTGGTTCAGGCCGGTTGCTATATAAAGGTGAGTTGTTCCAGCTAATTTTGTTGGCTTCACTTAGGCTGCTCAGAGGAGCCAAGTGGTTTGGGAACCACAGCCATTCTTCCCTGAACTCGGGGACACCTGGTAGGAATGCAAGGGCGCTAGGATGTCCAGCAGAGATACAAAGACCCTGGAATGCTCGGCAGGGCTGTAGAGATCCCGGGATGGAATGCCTAGGGGTGGGGGTGGGGGATGTAGGGACTCTGGGACGCCTGGCTGGGGTGTCCAGACTTTGGGATGGATGCCTAGCAAGGACACAATCGCCCAACTCCCAGGGCGGGGCATGGGCACCCGGCCAGCTAGCTGGGCTTAATAGGGCCGGCAGTCTCCGCCCAATGCACGCCCCCGCGGGCCGGGCTGGGAGTGGGAACAGTGTGCTACTCCGGCAGACACAACTTGTCCCCCTCTCCCGGAGCCTCCTGGGAGCCTGTGGCTCTGAACAAGAGGGGCAGGAGCCCAGCTGGTGCCCGCCTGCCCCGAGAGCGGCAGGAATGTGACCCATGAGTGCCAATGCCGGCGAAGGAGCACCCCTAGCGTGGCTCCTAGGGCTCTGGTTGCTCCAGGTCTGGGCGGGTTTGGCTCGGAGCTGCTAGATTCCTGCGCACCCCACTGGGGCACCCGGGCAAGCCCAGGTAGGAGAAAACTGGAGAGTTGGGAAGATGGGGTGGATAGACCACGCTGCTGCCTTGACCCTGGCAAATGTCCTTATGCTGCTCGGTAGCCAGCGTGTCAGTCAGCGTTCTCTGTGAATGAAGGATAAAGGTGATAGCAGTTCAGCCAGTCTCTCTTCACACACACACACACACACACACACACACACACACACACACACACACACACACACACACACACACACACACACACACACACACACACACGCTCCAGTAAAGGCCATTTAAATAATTCGGGTAACTTGCCCAACTTTCTTCAGGTTTGTTCTAAGTACATGAGTCTCCTCCCTGTGTAAATTGCTCCCAAGCCTTGAGTTCTGGCCAAGAGTAACTAACTTGTAGCTAACAAACCGTCTTAGAGGTTTGGGCTCTGAAAAGGGGCTCTTAACAGGGCAAGAGGTGAATTCATTAATCCCTGTGGTGGGATGAATCCTCTCTCCAGACAGATTGATCCTGGGGAATGCAGACACGTTGTTTACAAACATGCCCAGCGGAACAGTTTAGAGGGCCCCTTACTTTTCCTGCGCTTTAGCCTCCCGGCAGTCCTGTGGGTGAGCTGCCAGGATCACCTTGTTTTATAGCAGAAGCTTAGGTGCAGGCTATTGTGTTTGAGGACTGGCATTCTCTGGGCTTCAAACCCCTGTGCCTAAAGTCTTGGGGTGGAAGGGAAGTGAGAGAGGCCGCCCCAGAAGACAGGGAGACTCCCCTTCCTACGGTTTGAGATGTTCACCAGATAGCCACATCCCCTGATTTTGGCCCGGAGGAACAACATCCTAGGAACCGAGACAACAGAATCTAATCAGTTGGGCTACTCAGGCCACGATAAAGAGGAGCTAAAGTCCATCTGTCATTGGAAATGGTGGTGCCTGAGTCACCCTGGCTTAATGCCAGTCTTCCAAGAGGAGGATACACTGCTTGGAACCACACGGCTGTGAGCTACAGGGGTCAGCCTGGTGCTGGGGCAAGTGCTGTCTCTCCTCCCACTTACCAAGATGCTGTTCGTATCTTTCTCTCCTTTGGTCCCTTCTAATTTCATAATACCCTGCATGTTATATTTTATTTAATATTATACATCCACATCCTAAACTAAGTCCTGAGCTAGGCAGACTCATGATGCCCATTGAGATGGGATCCGACTGGGGAAGGTTCCTGAAGGCTGGCTTGTTTTTTTAGTCGGGGCTGACTGGTATTCTGGTGCACACAGTACTTGCCAGTAGGCTCACCATTGGATAGCCAGTGTGCAGTTCAAGAAGGGACATTTGCTCCAAATTCTCACCCAACCTTGGCAAGGAAGGCCCACACTTCCCACTCCTCATAGGCTCTGCTGAACCCCTGTGTTGTAATGAGACATGAAAGTATTCTGTATGCTCCTGAGGCCCAAAACCTCTTCTGGTACATTCTCTCCTGGTGAGACACTGCTTAATATTAGTGTTATTATTTATCAAAAAATACTTATTGAGTGGTACTAATGTGCCAGGCACTGGGGGAATACTAGGGAAGGTGAAGTAAATAAATGGGAATCTCTGTCTTCTCACATACATGGGTCCTCTTGGCGAGAATATCGGAAAACTTTTTTTTTTCTTCCTAAGACAGTAACTTTGAAATTTGTCACTTTGCAGAGAGTGTGGGTCTGGGTAGCATTGCCAACAGAGAGGGCGTGGAGACAGTGGCCGTACATACAGCTAATTGGCTCTCCAAGGAATAGCATGGGTGCTTAAGATATAGTCATGGGCTGGCTATGCAAGAGAACCGGGGTAGATTGGAAGCCTGCGGAAGGGAGGTGTGAACAGGTGTCTATTCACCTGCACGGAGATGCTATAGAGGGAACATCTTGTTAAGGAGCAGGGCAATGCTGGAGCATCTCAGTGAGACAGCCACGGCACAGGGTATGACACAGAGAAGAGCGCAGGTCCTCAGAGTCTTGTGCTGTATGATGGGTCTATAATGAACCTGCCACTTCAAAGGAGAGACATTGTCGGGAGCCCTGACTCATTCATTGGCCGTGACCTGCCCCACAATGCTACCCATGTGTCATTAAAAGCAAGCGCTTGGTTTGCGCTTTCCTCTGCGTGGTTATGAACTGGTTAGTGACATAGGAGAAGGATCTGCCGTGTTAGCAACTTCACTCTCCTCTGCTTGCCTGCTGTGGCCTCCGGAAGTGCCAAATTCCTAGCCACACCTTGTACATGAGAGTGGGCAGAGGGGCCCTGCCAAAAAGAGCTGTCATCAAGTTTTGAAAGTCCCTGAAGATTTTCCAAGTCTCTGGTCACTACCTTTGGATTCTCTGCTGTCTCCTTGTGTGTGTGTGTGTGTGTGTGTGTGTGTGTGTGTGTGTGTGTTAGTGTACGTGTCACAGAATAAATGAGACATTTTTCTATCTCATCTGTTTGGGAAAGGATTTGTACAATGTCATCAGTTAAAATAGAACGAGAGGTAAGCAAACATGGAGCCCCCAGTGACTAGAAATGTTTAAAATGACCTGGGAAGCTGCAGCTGTCAGTGTCTTCAACATACATGTGAAATGTCTGGAGGGAAATTAAAGGAGTCTTGGTGTGAAGTCGGGTTGAAACTTTCACCCGGTTTTCATTAAAGGGCTAGGAAGCCTCTTGAAGTTACCTGTCCCACAGGTGCAGGTGGGTAACCACTGTGCAGCTCGGTGCTGAGTTGACAGAGTGGGTCTGGAGAGCCCCGCTCCGCACATCTGGCCACCTCAACTCAGGTCACCCGAAAGTGCAGCAATGACTCCTAGTGGGAGTGAGGTGATGAGTGCCCTGCTGTCACTTTCCGTCAGGGCTTCTTACCTCACCAATTACACAACATGTCTGTGTGCAAGCATTCTTAAACAATCCGTTTGCAACTCCAAACTAGCAGACCACAGTTTTAAGAGCAGCAATATAATGTCTAAAGGAAAGAAGAAATAAAAGCAGTTTGTATTAAACTTAAGTATTTCAGCATGCCGAAGCTTGGGGTGTAGTTGGTACTTTTTACTCTTTTGGCTCTTTGGGGACCTGCCACCCAGCTCCCAAATAAATAACACGGAGACTTATTATCATTTATTAACGTCCAACCTTAGCTTGGGTTTATTTCTAGCTAGCTTTTCTTAAATGATCCTGTCTACTTTTTACCTCTGGGCATTAATCTTTATCCTGGACACCTTTCTTACTTGGTCGCTTGCTGTGTGCTTGCTGTGTAGCTGGGTGGCTGACCCCTGGAGTCCTCCTCCTTCTCTCACTCCTTAATCTCCTCTCCCAGAAGAATTCTCCTTCTATCTATTCTGCCTGTGAGCCCCACCTATCCTTTTTCCTGCCTCGCTATTGGCTGTTCGGCTCTTTGTTAGACCATCAGGTGTGTTAGGCAGGCAAAGTAACACAGCTTCACAGGGTTAAACAAATGCAACACATCTTTGCATCATTAAAACAAATGTTCCTCAGCATAAACAAATGTAACACATCTTAAAATAATATTTCACAACACTGGGGTAAGGTCATGCAGTACTTTATATGGTCTGACCACAAACTATCATGAGAGCAAATTCAAGTCTTCTGGGGAACAGGTGAGCTTCCAGCTGTATGAATACCTTTAACAGGTTCTTCAATCTTAGTCAGCATTTCAATGTGGTCAGAAGTGAGACTTCTCAGTTGTTACAACAGTTACTAAGCATCCCTAAGCCTTTCAGTATGTATGGAAATTGTGCCAACTCTGCCTTTTCTATAAATGTGGATGGAGTCAGGGTTAAGCTCAAAACACCAAATGCATTTTCTGTTGCTGCATCTGGGGGTCACTGGGTGGTCATGAAGAACAGGGGTCAAGTCTTCATGAACTGGACCGCCTTGTACTGTTCCAGATTCTAGTATTTGATAGTCACTGTAAGTGTCACCTGTCACATCCTACATGTCTCTGCGGACTTGACCTGGCTGAGTGAGGCAATGAAGGAAAGGGCAGAGACACATGCATGCAGAAAAGCTGAGATTGGGTAGACTGGGCTGTCTGATGATAGGGAAGCCCCCGTTGCCTCGGAAACTCACAGTGCTTATTATAGATTGCTGAACTGGAAGGGGGAGTTATTATATACAACTGGACATGGAGGCAGGGTCTACTGTATACAAATAAACAAAGAGGAGTAAGTTATTATTATAAGTAGCGGAGCAAGGAAGCAGATTCTACTGCTCTTGGTAGGATCACTCTCTGAAGGGGAACGGTCTTCAGGCTGTAAAGATCCAGAGGGGAGAAAGCTACGACGGATATTTTCTGCATGCACTGTCAGCATTCACACTCCAACCCAAGAGGGAAGGCTTTGCCATTTTCCTAGCCTGGGGAAGGCTTTGCTTTCCTATGGCTTTAAGCAGTTGGGATCAGCCGGGCGGTGGTGGCGCATGCCTTTAATCCCAGCACTCAGGAGGCAGAGGCAGGTGGATCTCTGTGAGTTCGAGGCCAGGCTGGTCCGATAGCCTCCAAAACAATACAGAGAAACCCTGTCTCGTAAAAACAAAAAATAAAAAAAAAAGAACTTGGGATCATTGACACAGCTGTGCCAATGTCAACATTCACTCAGGACTTCACTGTGAGGATGTGGAGCCTGAGATAGCCCATGTACTATGATAAACTGTAGAAGTAGATAGTATAGCAGCTAGCTGTCTAGGTTGCATTTAGCATCAACTGTAAGGATCATGTGTAGAGGGACAATAGAAATCAGAATAGCAGGCATTATGTATGTGGGTGACCACTGAGGAGCACAAAGGACTTCTAGGGTTGATGCAAATACAGGATGCATTCCTGGTATCTGCAGTTGTTCCAGCTTGTGGAATTGAGCACCTGAGGCATCTGTGTTGTGCTCTATGTTACCTCAGTAAAACAGTATAGAAGAGGTGACAATGAAAATTCTAAGGGAGAATTCTGCATCCTTTGGCTGTCTGTAGATCCTCAACTAAAGAGTCAGAGCCATCCTCACCACCACTGGCCTGGTCTTGATTGTAGTTTCTGATGACAGTAGCCATGTATCTGCCTCACTTTCCCCCTTTGTCCTTAATCCCATGTGCCTTAGTTGAAATGGGCCATCTTGTAGCTTTGAGCCTTGCACAGCTGAGTATTGACATTTCATCGTAGCACAGGAAACCTGTTTGGCATTTTTTTTTTACCTTACCTTCATCTTTATGCATCCTCTGTGATTAGAAAGATACTCCCTTCCCTCCTTTGTGTGAGTAAATAAGCCAGATCCACTTACTCTGATTGGAAATTGCAAGTCCTGATGTTCATTTCATTGGGCTTTCCAAAAAGTGAGTCTCTTTGGTGCCTTCTTGTGTGTGAGGCTTTGCTTGCTTGTAACTTTGTGGTTCCCAAGGTTACAGTGTCTGCCTGTGACTCTATGCTACTAATCTCTGTAGAATGGAAACCATTTAGAGCATATCACGGAGGTCCCCATGTGCCTCTGTGATCATTCCCACCCTCTCCTTTCTCAGCATGAGTCTGGGCACTCCTAGATAGATGGACATTTTAGAAGAAGTTAGTGTGAGGTAATCTATCTTGCCCCGAGGGTTTGAGCTTCTGGGCCTTGATGTTCCCATTTCTCATGATTGGGAGTTGTGAGATGATAAGGACGTTCACTTAAGATAGCCCCACTTAGACGCTCAACACAAAGACTGAACTGGATAAATCAAAAGTGAATAACCAACCCAGCACTGCGAAGTAGCTTTCTTTATGGGATATTTCTCTGATGCCTCCTGATTTTTCCTTGAGAGGTCTTGGAGGCTTCTTTCCTTTCCACAATGCACACCCACCTTTGCTTCAGTATGAAAGTAACAGCTTCCCCACCTAGATCTCCTTGGGTAAAACTGATGACCCCAATGGGGTAGACTCCCTTGAAAGTCTGTAGATTTTCTCGGAAATGTACCCATTCTTGTTTCAGAATCAAGGACTCCTGGAAGGATAGACTTGTAAAGTAGTTCCTGTAGTTACCTGGTTTTGTGCATTCATTTTTGGCTTCTTTATTACACTGTCCCTTTTGGTCTTAAGTTTGGCAACTATTGAGAATCTGGTTGCATGCTTATAACAAAGTGGCATCATGGGGGACATCATCATTATGGACTTAGTTCAATACTGAAATCCACTTGTCACCGATTTCTTAGTGGACACGTAGGCGATGACACTTCCTAAGCTGGGGAACATGCTGAAACTCTTGCTTTTTCTCAATTGTGACCAAGTTAGTGGGAACTGAATTCTCTATTTCACCACATATCAAATCTTCACATATATTCACATGTCTGGTGTGAGAACTTACAAATGCTGTGGCTCTTTGAGGCTCTGCTTGGAATGGTAGATGTGCAGAGATGAGGCCAGAGATGTGGAATGTGTGTGCTGCAGTTTGAGTGTGGTCATCCAAGTCCACAGGTGGGAAATAGACTCTCCAGTGCAACAGAGTGAGACAAGACTCGTAGGAACAGTTAGGTCTTGGAGGCCTCGTGAATGGATTGATGCCAGGACTGGGAAGTGAGTTCATCGTTGCAGGAGCGGGGTTGTTATAAAAGTGAGCTCAGCCCTCCTTTGCCTTCTTACTCTTGTCCTTCCACAGCCTGCTTCCCACATTCTGCCATGGACAGACGACGTAGCACACAAATGCTGGCACCACGCTCCCAGACTCCAGAACTATGAACCAAATAATTTTCTGTTCATTTTAAGTTGCTTGGGGTCAGGCATTTTGTCACAGCAGTGAAACAAACAAAACAAAAAAACAAACAAGATACGGAGAGACTAAAATGGTTAAGATTTCCTTCATAAGTTTCAGATTTGGAGGTTGGCTCTATCAGGTCCCTAGAAGGAGCAAGAATTTATTCTTGCATTATACTCACACTCCTGGGTTTCTATTGAGGCTTGGCTTCCTTAGAATTTCCTCTAGGATCCCCCAAATGTCAGTGATTTGTACTGATCTGCTCTGCAACTCATAAGCCATGCCCCCTGTCATAGTTAAGAGTCTATAAGGGCAAAAGGATAGGCCCACTAGAGACTCGACTGTCAGCACTTGTCTCTTGATCATGCTTTAGGCTCTCAGATACCCCAGAATTATTTCCCCAACTGCCTGAACTCCAATTTCATGGTTGCCCAAGGCTGTCCTGAGAGACCTTGAGGGCACTCCATTCCCGGTATGCCTGCCTTGTGAGCCCTGGCAGGGCTGTATAGAAGGGAATGCACCCACGCGTGTAGCCGAGGGTGTCAATTGTGCCTGTGCTCAGAGCCCCTCATAATGTGGAAAGAGCTGGCCTGAGAGGGCTTGGAGTAACTAGATACAGTATGGGCCACTGTTGGGCCTGCTCTGGGCAGATCCCACTATAGGGCCAGCACAATTTGTTCTTATGCACTGAGTACCCAGTCCCAGGACAAGTTTCCTCCAGCAGCAGTGAGCAGTTTCCTTTGTGTGCACCCACACAATGGGTGTCCTCAGTACATCGGACAGAGCCTGTGCCTAGCATCAGTCCTAGAAGGCAGGATTCACAGTGGGGGGAATTCCTCAGGAAGAGGAAGAGAATTCGAGTTCGTGGGAAATTTCTCATTCCTAAGAAAGTATCTAACAGATTCAGTATGATCACATACAAGAAAAATACCCTCTTAGGGCCTGTACTTCCCTTGAGGAAAATGCTGGGGCCCACAGCTGTCACTTTGCTTGAGCCTGAGTTGGACAAAGTAGATCCTGCAGAATGAGAGAAAGGCACAGTCCCTTTCCCTTCTGACCCCTGGGATGAGGGACAGCACAGTCCCACTTGCTGCTAGCTCATCCAGCCTTCACAACTCTAGTCCTGGCCATGCCCCTTCTTGGGGAGGGGCTTTTGTGGGGAATCAGTGATGATCATATTGACTCTTATGCTTAGTTTCTTTCCTTTCATAATTTAGCCCACATTTCTGCTTCTCAGTCTGAGTCTAGTGCTGTTAGGCTGCATCTGTTGCTGTAAAAAGAATGCTGGCACCAGGATAATCTGTAAACAGTAGTTTATTTAGGTTAGAAGGCCAGGTGGCTGCATCTGCTGGGGGCCTCGCGATGCCTCCTAACATGGCAGAAACAGGGAAAGGCAAGTGGGTGCTCGTGGAAGAGATTGAGCAAGAGGTGAGCCAGATGGGGGTGAGCTAGAGACAGAAGGGTCCTTTGCCTGAAGAAGTTAGGAGGGCTGTTGGCTTGGGCAGTATTTCCCAGGAGTGATGATGTCTCGATTGAAGTGCTGGTGTCTCAGATATGGTTAAACAGTGGGGAGAGTGTGTGTGTGTGAAGGCACTTGGAGTTTCAGGTGTAAAAGGGAAGGTGAGACGTGGAGTAGGTTGGAGCAAATGGGCAGTCTTGTTTGCAGGAGGTCCCTAGATTGACCCGATGGTCAGTCTTCCCTCCTTCTTCCCCTTTTACAGGCCACCTCACCCCGTGGTACTTACCCTGTGGCTCCCTTTTGAGGCTCCTGGGGATTGGAATGGGGGGGCATAGTCCTGTGGCTAAGAACAAGAAGATCTTGAGTGCTCTCTTTGACTTTGTGCTGTAACAGGACCCGCGATAATGCGCCACTGTGCCTCTGACAGCTGAATGCGGTGCTGTGTTCTATCTCCCCAGGCATGACTAATAGCTTGGGATTTAGTGTTATTTAGTCTACGCAAATGTTTAGCATCGATTTGGTCGGCTGTGTCAGTGGTGGACATTGAAAGGTCCCACTAGAGGCATAAGGAAATGACTCAGACATGGAAAAAATAGACTTCAAAATACTAGAGGAAACTGCAGAAATAAATAGTGAGCAATCACAAATAGCTTTTGGGGAATTATTTTAAATTCTGTAAAATGGGGTCAGGCATATGGATATGTTTAGTTTAAGGGAAAAACATTTTTTTTAAAAAAGCTAATGTGTCTGCTCTTAAAAGGGCCCTTTCCACGTTTTTTTCTTCAGGCATGGGGCAAGTCCTTAGCCTCATTTTCCATCAGTACTGAGACAGTCATCCCCAGAGGGATTTTATCAATTTCTGATTCCCTCTGACTGGCAGAACGCACAGTGCAGGCATTTAACCCTTTGTGTGTCAAGTTCCATATTCCTGACTCATTTGATTTGTTTCCCTAAAAGCATTCTGTCCTACAGGACCACGGGACATAGATGTTTTGACTTTTTCATGAGTATATGATACTTTTAGACTTGTCTTGGGGTGCTGGTGGCTCTGGGGCCTTTTTCACCCATCCGTTCAATGTACCTATGCTCTTCTTCTCCAGGTAGACACGCCCCTTAAAGATGATCCCTCCCTCCTGAGAAGCAGGACCACTCATATAGGAAGCAGTCTTCCTCAAGGTAACAGGCTGGGTCACCGCAGGGTTCCTGAGACTTTCTTCCTAAGCCATGCAAGCCTTCTACCCTCAGCTGCAGGCAGCCTGGGGACAGCTCCCCCTGTATCCAAAGATGTTGACTGGCACATTTTTCCTTGGGGGCCAGTGTGTGGTTTTTACCAGATTAATTCTTCTTTCTGTTTTTTATGGATGCACGGAATTTGGACACGGTGAGGTAATATAGAGGGGCCTGGAGGACACAGTGTTTGGCGGAATAAGACAGGGACTGTGTGATCTCATACATATGTGGAAGGAAGTTCAAACAGTTGATGACAGAGAAGAACAGAGCAGGGCAGTGGATGCTTGAGGCTGGGGAAGACAGGGGAGGGTGGGGGAAGGCAGGGGGGAGGGCTTGAGGGAGGTGCTGTCAGATTTTTTGAGGGAGTCTGTGGCCCTAGGGTCCTGCTGCTGTACAGCCCTGCTGGCCCATGGCAGGTCACTGCTGACCTCCTTCTCAGGTCATCTGATTGTAGTGAGTTCCCAGTGCAGGGGGCAGAGCCCTCTCAGAACATTCTGGGCCTCTTCCATCCCACCCTCAACTTCCTAATCTCTGTTGGAAAGAACACTCCTGGCCGCCTCCTCAGGGGCCCAGGGCTGGTGTTGGTGCAGGAAGCTTATTTACTCTGATCATGTCAGAGCAGCCTGTGTCACGACCCAGCCCACCTCCCTGCGGTGTGATCCTCCTTGCCCTCCCCACCCCCCACCGCTAGGGAATCTGGCCATCAGCTACCCTCAGTCTCTCTTCCCTGCCCATCCTCCTGCTGCTCCTCTGGGCGTCCACATCATTCCTCTTGCCTCCAGCTTATTTTCCACACAGTGGTCAACATCTGTCCAGGAAATCAAAACCTAGCCATATCCCGCCTCCACTGTGTAAAATCTTTAAGTGCCTTTCTGCCATCGGCAAATAAAAGACCAGCCCCTCAGCGCACCCCCATTGCAGCCGCTGTCGACCCCGTCTTTCCAGATGCCCTTCGTAGCACCTGTCCTCGGCAAGCGATGCAGGATGGAGACATTTCTTAATGTCCTTCTTCCTTCCCACAGGCAAGCGAGGGCCCCGGCGTCCCTCGCTCTTGCGTGTGGGGTGGGTCTCACCCTGCAGGCACATGATCTAGTGGAATGAATATGGATACAATCACTTCCCCTGCAGCCACCAAACTCCATGAGCCAGTCTCTGGGTCATTATTCCTGTTTCTTTGCCCAGGACTAAGTGTGGACCTGGGCTTCAATATATAATTGTTCAACAGGGCCGTGGGTGGAAAAAGACATGAACGGAAACTGAAAATCTTGCATCAAAACTTGTCATCACGGTGTGGGTGTTTGTGATAATGGCTGAGGGGGACCTTTGCTGTATATGGTTTCCATGTGGCGACTCATTTTGCCCTCATCACAACACTCAGTGACAGATGCCATTGTCAGTTCCAATTGTCACATGGGGGAACTGAGGCACAGAAGCTGAGTATATCCAGTGTGTCACCTCTGTGGGGAAAATTGAGTTGGACAGTCTTAACTGGTGGCCTTGAAATATCTATTTAGTCTAGATCTCTACCTTGGGGTTGTATTGTTGTTGGTGGACCTAAGGGGTTAGTGCTGATTTGGGGCGGTGTCTCTTTGCTTGTTTGGTATCTTGTTTTGCCCATTTGTTTTAGAGGTTCAGTTGATCTGTGTCATTCAGGCTGACCTCAAGCTCATGACTCTCCGGCCTAGCTTGCCCGGTGGTGGGATTACAGGTGTGTGTCACCACACCCAGCATTTGTCGGGTTTTCTTGGGAGCACAGTTGGTGTCATCTTAAGTGCTAGGGCAAAGAGTTTTCCCACAAGCTTCTTTGGTTTTTATTTTTCCCTAGAGCAGGGTAGGGATAGATGGAAAGCCTGTCCTCCTGTTCCTCTACCACTTAGTAAACCACTAGGGAAGAAACTAGTCTTAGGTCATTGGCCCTGAACTTGAAATAGTTAAGGATGATTCATCTGCAATTAACCTAGAATTTCAGCTGGAGAACCACACACTATAAAAAGGCAGCCTGGCATATTTTTCTTCTTCTGCCTAATAACCAAACAAGTCTCATCTTGTACCTGAGTGAACTGGCAACTAGCAGTGTCCACATGGTTTATTTATAAGCACTCTTGTTGATACTAAGACTACCGAGTGAATAGCTAGGACTTGGGTACTGGGGGGCGTTCAGACCTTTCTTTTCTAAGAGCTGGCACACACTTCCATGTGCTCACAGAAGGAGGTGAGAAGCCAGGCCACAAGCTTCAAGGCCTCTCATCTTATTTCAGAATCTGAATGTAGTTTAAAGTAAATACAGAAATAGCACTATTAACCTACATTGTGGTAGATGACCCATTGTCATGGTGAAGGATCGAGTTACAGGATATGTAAGGAATGTAGCCTTACTACTTTAGGGTAGATCTCAAGACTTAAGCCAGGCTTAAGAATCAACATCCTGATGCTGGGGTTACAGTCCTGAGAACTGAATGGGTGTGTCTTACAGGCTCAGATAAAACCTGCCCCCCATCAATCTTCATTTAAAAGGTGTGTTGTAACATCTTTCTAATGTAATTTCTCAAGTAGAATGTTTTCCAGCTAATCTTCAAATCCTTCAGATAATTAGTTTCCAGGAATGTTATTTTAGTTAAGAGGATTGATGTTTCACAATGACAGCAACAGATATGAATGAATATAGACACATTAAGGGCAATTTTTGTGACCCCCCCCGCAGCAAGGAGTTTCATAGTATGCTCTGGACATCACCCAATGTTGCATTGAGGATTCAGCTGTTATTTTGTTCATTTTGTTCTCATTCATCCCTCAAGGCTTTATTAAGGACTTCTGGGTTTCAAGCACAGTGTCACATGCTTTGGGGATAGAACTGAGCCATATTCCTGCCTTCAGGAGCTTCCCTTCCCAGGTTAAGTGCAAGATTATGCTTAGGGCATAGTAGGCATACAGGTTGCTGGGAATGCCCAGAGAATGCAGCCAGGCAGGAGCTCTGGAAGGCCTCTGGCCCTAAGGTTCTGAGATCTGATGGAGTAGGAGTGAATGAGTTAGAGGGTAGAGGAAGCAGTTAAGCACAAGACTAAGAGTCTGGGGCATGGTGAAGGCTGCTGCAGAGTGAGCTGGGGCACAGGGGGACATTCAGTAGAGCTAAGAGAGCCAGCAACAGAGTAGCCCTATACTTGGCAAGGGAGCTGGACTCTTCTACCTGCACTGGGAGGCTAGGGAGGCTGTTGAGTAGTTGATTTGATTAGAAAATATAAATCCACAGGCAGAGAGACAGATAAGGAGCCTGGTGGTGTAGTGAATGAAGCAGGGGCTGGAGTGAGAGCAGCATAGCAGGAATTATGAATAAACGGGGTGTTGGTGGGGAAGAAGTCAACTGTTGTGTCCTGCTTCAGGACCCGGAGCCCTCGTCCCTTTTAAATGCATGCTCAGTAGGTCTGGGGCCCTGGGTGGCTGTCAACTAGGTGGGGAGTTCCAGGGGAGGGCAACTGGTGGTGTAAGCATACTTGCTGTATTGCTGCGACTGAAGTTCTCAGAGGTCACTGAGTAGATTTGTGTAAAAGCTCGCTGGAGACAAGAGGCTGGAGCTTAGCTGAATATCATCATGAGCCACGTGCTAAGGAGAATGAAATGAAAAGAGAAAGGAGACTATCATGCAAGTTTACTTCATTTGGGACATGAGAGAGGTAGTAGGCAAAGCTGTGAATGAATATGTGTTCTTCTTTGCATTCATTTGATATTGTTTTAGGGCCTTTGTTTCATAGATGAGGTGCTGGGCACATCCTAAAGAAGGTTAGGCAAGTAGTTAATCTGGTTACACTCCCTGCCAATAACACGGACAAAGGTCCATGTAACTAAAATAGCCAAGATATTAAATCAACCTAGGTGTCTGCCAACATGGGTAGCACACATGTGGTACATATATACACAATGGAACATTATTCAGTCATGAAAAAGAACCAAGTATGTCATTTGCAGAAAATGGATGGAACAGGAGAAGATCATATTATCAAAAAGAAAGGCAAATGTGTTTTATTTCATATGTGGATCCTAGCAAAAACCCACATATGACATGGCAGAAGAAGGAGGGCTTGTGGGGGAAGATGAAGTGGGAAGGAGAAAGGTCAGGGTAATGAGAGATACATGGGTCAATGCACATTATACACTTGATGAAAATGTCATGAAACTCAACACTTCATAAAGTGAATACACAATAAGAATTTGAAAAGGAGAGTAAGTCATCAGGACCTCAGTTTAACATGGAGTCCCAGTGCTAACACTATCTAAGGCCATGCTAGTGAGGCCTTCGGAGCCACTTATAGAAACAGCTGGGCTTCTTTCTTTGTGAAAATATTTGTCCAAGTTCATCACAGACCTTCTGGAAAGTAATAAAATCCCCAGAGAAGGGGAAACCCTCCCAAACCACAAGAATAAATGTAGCTTTAATATGTTGCCATGACTTACTTTAGTCATTTTGGGGGTACATCTCTATGTATTATAGTGTAAGGCAACTGAATATGGGTTTTTTCAATGGAGGCCTGACTTGAGTGTGGGGATTATCTTCTGGCTGGAGACACATGTTCAAAGGGAGAGGCAGCTACTTTGGGTTTAGTGAGTCCATTCACCCCTATCCCCATGGGAGATTGGTTCCACAACCACTGTAGGTATTGAAGTGCATAGGGCTCAAACCCCTTTACATCTGCCCGTGTACTTTTATCTTCTCTGGGTTAGTTAGCGATATCTAATGAAATGCCAGTCATACCCACAGTTGTTCTCCTGTTGTTTAGGGACTGACAACATCCTAAAAGCCATGGCTCTTCAGCACAGAAGCACAGACTTTCAAATCGTTCAGCATGGTAGTTGGTTGGATTTGTAGATGTAGCTCCCATGGGTGTAGAGGTCTGGACATAGTCTACATTGATTGTAAACTATATTCTGAGGGGATTCAAGTGTAATCTAAGACTAGAAACATATTTGAGGAAAGACGTTGGAAATTCTTTAAATCTTAATTTGTCCCAAATTCATTCCCCCACCTCTCTCTCTCTCTCTCTCTCTCTCTCTCTCTCTCTCTCTCTCTCTCTCTCTCTCTCTCTCTCTCTCTCTCTCTCTCTCTCTCACACACACACACACACTGACTTTCTAACTAGAAGAGTAGCATCACTTGGAATGGTAAGGAAGGCTCTCCCATGTGACCTGGGGTTACGGATGAAGACAGGTAGGGGGGGGTCAGGAAACCCAGAGATTTGCTAGTTAATAACACTCTTCCTTCCCTTCCATTTCTCCAGGAGAATATGAAAGTGCTACTTGGGCTCCTTTGTTTCATCGCCCCTCTGCTTTCGCTGGAGACCGGTGAGTCTGATGTTTCCTCTAAGTCATCTAAGGGCAGAGGTGAGGGAGAGCATAGGACAGTGTTCTTCTACCGGAGTCATTTTATTTTCCAATCTCAGTTACACCTAGGACATGGACGCACCTGGCCACAGAACTGCCATTTGAAAGTCCTTTTCCATAGCTTCCTCTCTCATTCTGTGCCTGGTATTTTGGGGGAAACTGAGGCCAGTGAGATTAAGAGCCCAGGGTTGTGTCGCTGGCTTTGGAATAAGAGCTCCTGTCTAGGGCTCTAGGTCTAGTCCAGGCCTCCTGTCACCTCAGAGCTCATGGGACTATGTAAGGCCTGCTTATCCTGGAATAGGTGTCCAGAGCCATCCATGGACCCATAGCTACTTATGTGTATTCTCTTCCAGTTTCTTCATATTCTCTTTCTCATCTTCATTTCTTTCCACAAATTTATTGAGCCTTTACAATGTGCCATCTGGTAGGTGCTGAAACTGTAACAGCAAATAAACCACATGGAAGCAGCTACTTGTAGGTGACATTCATTCCTACCGGGGGAGACAAGACAGACTTCCTTGCATAAGTCATGTAGTAGTGTAGATAAGGTAGTCAGAAACACTAGGAAAACAAAGGATATTTGACAGATAAACAAAAGGTTCAGTTTTCTGTACTGCATCTAGCCACAAAAATATCTCAGGTGAAAGGTTGATCTTGAGTAGACCCTGAAGGAGGGGGAAAAGGGAGTGATGTAGATTCCAGGCTAAGGGAGGTATGTATCCTTGGCAGCGTGTGCCAAAGGCCCAGAGGTTAAGAGCAGCTGGTGTGCGAGCCAAAAGACAGAATGAGGTCACCGAGTGTGGTAAGGAAAGATAGTGTCAAGAACGGAGGCCTTACTTCCTCTGGGGTGACTGATGGTCAAGGTTTCAGTGGTCAGGGAACTAGTAAAAGTCTGACCTCGAATTTGGAGCCAAGTAGAGAAAGTTTCTCAAGGTGAGCGGATATAGTAGGAACATGTCCACTGCAGATGTGTTAAGAGAGATGGCATCAGTGAGTTATTAAATCTAGCGACTTAAAAATTTGTGCATGTTGTTTCGGGGATGACCACTCTGCCTTGGATAACCAAAAATGGGGCTCAGCCTTGGGTGAGGCCGAGTCACCCCCTCTCCCAGCAGTCATTGGTTACTGATAGTTCTTTGTCTGGGAATAGGACCCCATGAAATTTACCCCTCCCTTATTAATATGCCCTTTGATGTTGCCATTGCTCCAGTCTTGTTTATGAAGTCATTTCTAGGAGAGACTGTTTCCCAGCAGACTTGCTGGTGTTCTGGCTCTCACAAATCTTTCTACACCTCTTCCTTGATGTTCCCTGAGCCATAGACATGGGAACTGTGATGTGGGTGTGTCTTTTGGGGCTGGGCCCCTCACCACAATTTGTTGACCACTGCATTGTGTCCATTTGTGGTCTTCTGTGATGGTCTCCATTTGCTGTAAGGACGCTTCTCTGATAAGGGGTATGGCAGCTAAACTTACCTGTCAGTATAAGCTTATGCATTAGAATGTGATGAGGAATTAGACTGTTCTAGCAAAGTGGACTTAATACTCATTACTTTGTTCAATTTTGAAACAAATGATGAAAAGAGAGAGAAGTTACAAGCCCAAAACCTCTTATGCGCTTAAAAAATCTATTTAAATTACCTATTTGCACACTTATAAAACAAGAGTTTTGTTTTCTGATTTGTTTACTGGCATTTCTTATTTCTTTGTGTGGTCATGAGTTGCTATCTTGGTTGGACTCTCTCAGCCTGAATGACCCTCTCTGAGGCGTTGTTGTTGTTTTGTTTTATAGGAGAGTCGTGTTTCTGATGAATTGTTCTAATCTTGGTTGATCTATAAATGCCTTCATTTGTCCTTCATTCTGAAATATTATCTCACTTCCTCCTGGCCCTGGTGGGTTCTGAGAAACAGCTACATTTATTGAAGAACTCCTGTGCACAAGATAGCTCTGTTTCTTCCTGCATTTAAGGTTCCCTTTCTGTGACTGGACTTTGAAGTACTAGGTAGATGTGGCCTTGTAGCTTATCTTGTAGTATTAAGCTACAAGATGGGTAGATTAATGTGTGTTTTTTGGGGGGGGCATTATTTCTTCATGTATTTTTTACTGACCCTTCTTTTTGTCCTGCGGTTCCCATTATGTTTATGTTGGTTTGCTCTCAGAGCCACAAAAGACACTCAGTTGGTTTATTGTCATTTACAAGTTTCTTTTGCTCTCAATACACATGTGCTGTTCAACCCTTTATGGTAAAACAATATTTGTCTTAATTATGGGATTTTTTTCCACCCTAGAATTCCAGTTAGCTCTTTTCCTGGTTTCCTCCTCCTCTTCCTCTTCTTCTTAGTTGATATTTCCTTGGTAAGACATTGCTGCCATACAGTTCTTTTATATTTTAGAAATAGTTTTTCAGCAGTGCTGTACATGTTTTAAAAGATATTGTGAGTCTTTGTAGAGTAAATGTAACACCTCTGTTCCCCCAAAGCATTTTCCATTGGAAGCTTTGTTTACCCTGTGAATGGATCCCACTTTCCCATTTCTTTTGTAGTATTTTGCTGAACATTGGGAATTTTTGATAGCATAATGTATACTTCTGGAAATCAGATGTCTCCCCTATATGTACCTATAGTTTGTTATTACTGAGTTTTTTAAAGATTAATTCTGTGTGTGTGTGAGAGGGGGGGGAGGGCGGGGAGAGAGAGAGAACACACAGATCCCCATGGAGCCCAGAAGGGAAAGTTGGATCAATTGGAAGTGGAGTCAAAGGTCACAGGCATTTGTGATATCTGGTGTTGGTGCCGGGATCTGAATTCTGACTCTCTGATAGGGCAGTAAGCGCTCTTCACCACTGAGCTATCATTCCAGTCCATTGTTACCAATTCCAATTTTCACATTTTTAATAATTGTTGTTTCTGTTTCTGTTCATTTGTTGATGGATTTCCTGAACCAGCCTTTTAAAATCTGTCTACAAAGCCTGAAATCACTGGTAAGTTCAGTGATTGGTTAACGACTGGATGATCTGTGGCCTATGTGTTCTCTACCCTTTGCTGAGGGACAGCGTATAGGCTGTTTACGGTTCTCCTTAGCCTTCACTTTCTGCCCATATATGATCTCACAGTTATTTGGATGTGAGTTTGAAACCTTCTCTGGACCTGCTGAGCAGCTATGCATACGAAGGTATTGCTTCTCATTCCTCAGGGACATGCCGGAACATTGAGATCTCCCTTTAGGCCATGGCTCTTGTGTTCTAGCCTGTGTCGTAGCTTTTATTAAATAGTTGCTGCCTTATTAAATAGCTGACACTGAGTTTGCTCACCAAACACCCCAGGGATAGGACTCTTGCTAAGGATCTCTGGGGTCAGGTCAGTAGCCTGGGGCAATTGAGAAACTCCAGACCTGCTCTGCTCTTGCAAGCCTGATGGTTTTCAGAGTCACTATGTATGCACAGGTCCTGTTTTTCATGATATTAGGGATCTGAGGGGAGGGGGATGGTAGCCACTTCCCAAAGCAATACACGTGCTGTTCCAGTTTTATCAGCGACTTCCTGTTACTTCCTTCTCTTCCTTCTGTCCCTTCCCCTCTCCTTCTCCTCTTCTTCCTAATGACTGCTTCTCTGAATGCTGGAAGCCTTTGATTTAGAAACAAAAAATCCAGTCCTTTTCTTGCTTTTAAGGATGAAGGATTCACAGAAACTTTCAGGCTGCTCTTTTGGAAACCGTCCTTAAGTTCCTTTTTCTTTAGAGTATGGATGCAATTTGATGAGGTGGCTGTTCCTTCCCATTTACTTGAAAATATTTGTGTGTGTTATGCCTGCATCTCTGTCCTGTTTCCAGTGACATGTTTATCTTCATTCCCATGTTACGCTGACTTCGCTGAGGAAACTCTATAAAGCTGTGTAGGTTTATAGGATTTTGGCCATCTGTTTTGTGGTACCCAGGGATACAGAACCAAGTGCCTTGAGCTTGTTGGCCAACTACTATCTCTGAGCTGCATCCACAGCCCCTATGGTCTTTAACTTGAGCGGTGCAGCTCTGCTTTTTTTTTAAAATTCCTTTTAAAGTCAAATTTGTTTTGACTACTTCTATGTGGGTTTTAAAATTGGTTTGTCGATTTGTATGAAATGTTCTGATGATATTTTGATTGAGATTAAACTGAATATAAATGTCTGAAGGAGGAGGAGGAGCACCCAAAAAATGGATTCCACTGTTCTGTGGTCACAGCCTTTATCCACTTGCTTAGAACTTACTTAATTTACTGAAGTGAAATTTTGAAATTTTCATTCCATAATTTTGTTTTATAGATTTATCCTTAGTTTTAACTACCTATTGGTGCTACTGGAATATGTGTTCCCTTCCTTCCTTCCTTCCTTCCTTCCTTCCTTCCTTCCTTCCTTCCTTCCCTCCCTCCCTCCCTCCCTCCCTCCCTCTTTCCTTCCTTCCTTCTTTTCTTCCCCTTTTGTTTTTTGACACAAGGTTACACTGTGTAGCTCTGACTGTCCTGGAACTTGCTTTGCAGACAACGCTGGCTTCGAACTCACAGAGATCAGCCTGCCTCTGCATCCGAAGTGCTGGGATTAAAGGCATGTGCCAGCAGTGCCTGGCTTTTTGATTTTTCCTTTCCTTTTTTTGGGGGGGGATGTGGGTTCTTGAATGTATATATATATATATATATATATATATATACACACACACGTCCTCTCTTTCTGGGATCACATGACTATTCTCCACTCTTGACTATATTTCCCAGAATCCTCCTTGACTCCTAGTCCCACTTATCTTACTTCTCTATATGCCAACAGTGCTTTATTTATCAATCAGTAAGATAAACACATACACAGAAGGATTTCCCCCATCAACTGAGAGTTTTTATAAGAAATGGATATTTAATTTAGTTAAACGCTTTTTCTGAATCTGTTGAGATTGTTGTATAATTTAAAAACAATCTCTTAGCATATGATTGATTTTTTAGCATGAATATGACTTTCTGTTTCTGGAATATCATTTCATAATGCATTATATTTTAAATATATATTCTGTATTATTCAGTTAGGTGAAATATTTTAAAGATACACATATGTATTCATAGTATAGTTTGGTTTGTGGTTTTATTATAATGTGATTTTTGGGTAACAGATTAATGTTGATATCACCTGTGAGTTTGGAGGTATTGATGATGTCTCTTTAATATTTGGGAGGATTTGTTCAAAATTGACATCATGTCTTTCACACTTGAAAAGACATAAATGTGAAGCCATTCAGTCTAGAAATGTCTGTGCTGGGATGTCTTAACTGCAAATTCAGTTCCCTTACAAGGTACAGGACAATTTAGGCTACCTATTTCTCCTTGAAAGCATTTTAATAGGTTTTGTCTTTCAAAAATTTTAGCTATTTTATTTATGATGTTGAATATATTATAATAAAGTTGTTCATAATACTCCTCTTGCCCTTTTAAAACCCTTTCAATGAGACTTCTTTTCTCTTTTGAATAGAGATTTACTTTTTAGTGGTTTTGTTTTTCCCCCAACTAGAGCTTTTTCAATTTTATTGCTTTTATGAAAGAAGTCACTTCTGGAATCTTTAATTTTCCTCTATTCTTCTTTTTAGTTCATTCCTTTCTTCCCAGATATTATTTGCTATCTGCTGCTGGACTAATCAAGTTTTGTATTATTTAAGCAGTGTGGCAGCTTAACATTCCCACTAGGGAAGGCTGTGCCTGTAAGACCTACTCATTTCTAGGCTTTGTGGGCAATTGGCCTCCCAGAGTACGCTTTTCATGTGACGTCTGACTCAGAGCAGTGCTTCCACACCCTCCTCGTAGACCTCTCACACACAAAGTCAACCTGATTCCTGTTGTGAGTTAATGCACAGCCAGGTGGCGACCAGCCATGTACGTACGTGCCTTTGCCACCTGGGCACTCTGCCTTGCCTGGACTCCTCAAACAGTTGAACTGGCCACATCAGATTTCAAACCACAAGCTTAAACAAGTGTTTCTAAGTTGTTTTTTTTTAAGTGTTTCAGTCACAACAATGAATAAAAAATCCCACACAGAAAATTAGTACTAGAGAAGTGACATTGTTGCTGTGACAAAAATGTTACTGTCTTTGGAACTTTTTGTTGTTGTTTTGTAGAGGAATTTGTGGGAAAAAAATAGAGAGGTCAGTTAGGAAGCTCTGGGATTTTGTAATCAGAGCTTCATGCCTGGTTTTGGTGGGAGCGCTGATCAGAATGCCAGTAAAACTGTGGACAGTTAAGAATGTACTCAGTTGCCGGGCGTTGGTGGCGCATGCCTTTAATCCCAGCACTCGGGAGGCAGAGGCAGGCGGATCTCTGTAAGTTCGAGACCAGCCTGGACTACCAAGCGAGTTCCAGGACAGCCTCCAAAGCCACAGAGAAACCCTATCTCGAAAAACCAAAAAAAAAAAAAAAAAAAAAAAGAATGTACTCAGTTGAGGCCATTTACGCCACCATCTAACAAAGAACTTGTCTAATTTTGTCAGTGTCTGGTAACTATGAATGAGCTAAATGTAAAAGTGATTCATAGACATAGTAAAGAAGTCCACAAATGCCTGGATGAAATAATATCGGATATTTATTGTGGGGCACCCACATAATGAAGGTTAAGAGCCGCTGAGGTACCGGATGATACAACCACCACCCAAGAGAGGGCACGAGCTTGATCCCAGTTTACACACAGCACAGGAGATCCCTCCCAGAAGGGGCCAGTACCTCAGAGACTGTTGGATGAATGAGTTCCCACAACAGTAATTGACTAATTTTATGGAGGCAATTCCAAGACAGTCTAGCATTCAGCCTATAGCATGGTTATTGCTGGCTGTGTTCAGTCAGGTTTGTAGTGAGATTCGGGGTCTTCAAGCAGAGTAGGCATTAAAACCTTGACATTTGGTCAGAAAAGCCAGAATAAAGTTGAAGCTAAAAGAATGTGGTTTCTGAAGCTAATGGTGCCTTTGAAAATAAGTATTTTACATAGTAGTCTCAAGGTAAGGAAAGCATAGACTCATTTAAACAACCTTCCATGGAGAAGAGAGTGCCTCTGGGGAACCTATCTCTTCAGGGCTGCCTAGGGTAAAGGAATTATTTCCATTACTTGAATCACTCAGATATAGTCAAAGGTGGGGGAGTTAACATTAAATCTAGAAGCAGGGCTTGGTGTCATTCACACAGTGCTATCTTTTATGATATATAAATATAAGAGTTATGGGGACACTCAGATTTCAAAAGAGTCTCCAAGTGTGGAAACCCTGTAGACACTCAGGAGAGGTCACTGAAGGAAGATGCAAAGATGAATCTTGCTAGCCTGTGGTATATTTTCCTAAATAGTACCTGATGTGTGAGGGCCCAGCCTGTGGTGAGGGATGTAATTCTCTGTGATTGTACAGGTGCTCATAGTAAGCGATGGTCTTGAGTTCTGAGCATTGTTAGAAGTTTAAAGACCTTCTTGTGGATTCTTAGAGATGGGCTAAAAGCAGTCTGCATCGTAACCAGTCATGATCATTTGAAGGACGGGGCTTGAATGTTAGGGTTTGAAGGTTAAATTTCCTCCACAGGCTCATAGGTTAAGCACCCAAAATTATACAGCTTCGCATATGGATAAAATGTTTCTGTAGCATTTTTATCTGATACTATTTTCTTCTTTGTGGAAGGCTTCTTTGACAGCTTCTTGAGAGTACAGACCTTCTGATGATGGTTTCTTAGAGCTTTTCAAATCTTTTCTGTAATTTTGAAAGATTTTTTTTACTGAAATTGCAGGTGGATAATACTTTTCTTCTCTAAAAGGTTGTTACCCTTTTGTTTCTTATTGTAATAGCTGCTTCTTTTTAAAAAAGAGTCTCTGACTATGTAAGATTTTTCTTTTGTCACTGGTGTTAAACTGATCACTAGGCAGTTACTGTGATTTTCTTCATCTTTTCTTTTTTGTTTGTTTGAGACAGGGTTTCTCTGTGTAGTCCTGGCTGTCCTGGAACTGGCTTGGTAGACCAGACTGGCCTTGAACTCAGAGACCCACCTGCTTCTGCCTCCTGAATACTGGGATTAAAGGAGTGTATCACTACCACCTGCTCAAAGATTTATTTAATTATTTATTTTATGTATGAGTGCTCTAGCTGCAAGTACATCTGCATGCCAGAAGAGGGCATCAGATCCTATTATAGATGGTTGTGGTTGCTTAGAAATCGAACTAAGGTTCTCTGGAAGAGCAGCCAGTACTCTTAACCTCTGAGCCATCTTTCCAGCCATTTTGCCTATTTTTAGAGTTAATTGTATCTTTGGGGCCCAAGTTCATTTTATCTCATCTTGAGAAATTGCAGCCTGTGTTTCAAATAAGTTTTCTGTGTTCCCTACTCTTGCCTGAAGCTATCTGACGCCCTGTCTGCTTGCTTTCCCCTCCCCCATCCCTTTGCTTAATCTTGGATGTTTTCTAATGTTGTGTCTTCAGGTTTTCTTATTTTTCTCAATATAATTTCAACTTGACAATGCATTTTTATTTCTAGAAGTTTTATTTCTTAATTGGTTTATGTCTCTATTCACTGTGTCTCTTCTCCTTCAGCATGTTGAGTAAATAGGAGATAGTATTATGTTATGCCTTTAACAGTGTTGTTCATATGTTAGCTGTTCACATGGGAGGGTATGTTCAGTCTTTGCTATTGTACAGAAGCGAATGTCTCTCCTCCATTATTCCTACCTTTAGATGAATAAGTAGAAAGTAAGAGGGGATTAACTTGCCCAAGGTACGCCCATAGGGACCATATGACAGAGCTAAAACCTAATGTAAATTGTTCAAACCCCGAAGACTGGGTTTGTAACCTCCAAGCTGTGAACTATAGGCATGGCAGGAGCTGGTACCTTCACTAACCAAGTGAGTTCAAATGTTGATATTACATTAAGAAACACTGGGAATTTTTCTTATGGAAATTGCTTCCCTTTTCTCTCTTTTAAAGATGAATGTAAAGAATATCCGAATGAGATAATTTTATTCTCATTTGTAAATGAAATTGATATTCGTAATTGTCCTCTTACAACGAATGAAAAGCATTTCACCATAATCTGGTATAAAAATGACAGCAAGACACCCATATCAGTGGAACAGAGCTCCAGGATTCATCAGCAAAAAGAACGGCTTTGGTTTGTTCCTGTCAAGATGGAGGACTCTGGACATTACTATTGTATAGCAAGGTAAGGAACGATTTGATACATTACAGACATATGTCCTAAGCCTCTATGATAGTTAAGGGCAGATAATCACTTTAAAATGATTAATTTCCACATTTTACTTTATTTTAGAAACTCGACTCACTGTTTCAAAACTAAAGTAACTGTGAAGGTTTTGGAGAACGAGCCTGGCCTGTGTTACAACACACAAGCCGCCTTCAGGCAGCGCCTCCACATCGCAGGGGATGGAAGCCTTGTGTGCCCTTATTTGGATTTTTTTAGGGATGAAAAGAACCAGTTACCTAAAGTCCAGTGGTATAAGGTAATTTCATTTTAAGTATGATATTTTACTTTTACACAGTTTTCTGTTCTGAACAATAAAACGTATCTGCAAAATCTTTTTCAGTGTGGCCACTGTTTGCTCCGGAGTGGTGCAATTTCACAGAGAACCAAACAAAAACTTAAGCCTGTAGTGATTCTTACAACTTAACTAAAATCTTATGGTTGTCTCTATCTAACTTAGTAAGACATAGTTTCAAGAAAAGTAATAGCACTCAAAACATGTTTGAGAAGATGGATTAGATATTTAAAACATGTGAGAGATAGTTTTTATAGCAGATATTATTTTGTGTTTAATCGAAAACGTTTATGTGCTGGGGCTGCAGAGATGGTTCAATGATTAAGAATGACAACTGTTCTTCCATAGGACTGGAATTTGTTTCCCAGCATCCACAGCAGAAGGCTCACAATAACCTGTAACTACAGTTCCGGGAATCTGGCACCCCCTTCTGTCCAACATAGGCACCTGCACTCATGTGTACAAGCCCATGATTGCACACACACATACTCATAATTAAAGAAAAGTGAAATCCACATATAACATGGTAGTGTCTGTAGCCACTTAAACATTAGGTTGGGACACAGTATATTTTGGTAGCTTTAATTAGTAAGTAGTCCAGTGGAACTTTTGCAGGAAAATCATCTTTTAGAAATTAAAGAAAACAAAATAATATCAGTTCAGGAAAGGACCATGATGTTGACAAATGTCAACATTATTGCTTCAGTTGTGTCTTCTGTGAAATAAATTTGTCTTCACATGTCTTTATGGCATAAGCCTCTGGGCTTGAAATTTAGAAGTGTAATTATTCTTTTATTCCCCCGAAACAAACAAGTCACATTTTCAATTAGGGATTTGCCGAGGTGAAAAACTAGAGCTCCTATTTTGGTTACCAAGGGGAGTTACTGACTTTTCCAAATGCTTCTGTCTGCCTTCTTGTCTAGGATTGCAAACCATTGCCTCTTGATGACAAAGACTTCTATGGAGCCAAAAATAAGCTGTTGGTGAGAAATGTCACTGAAGAGCATGGAGGGAACTATACTTGCCATGTGTCCTACACATTCCTAGGGAAGCAATATCCAGTGACCCGAGTAATAGAATTTGTCACAATAGGTGAGTCGTAGCTCTGACCCCAGGAGTTTGCATGTGGGACAGCCTGAAGACCATCATTTTGATATTACTTCATTGTCCACAAAGGAACTAAATAAAGAATTGGTCAGTGACTCACAAGGTTGATTAGTCACACAAACCAAAACAGGGAAGGAAGGGTTTGTTTTGGCGTATGGTCCCAGAGAGAAAGCAGGTGGTCGAGTGTAAGGCTGGCCCAGTAGTCAAGAAGCAGCATGATAGTATTTCATGGGCAAGAGAGAGAGAGAGAGAGAGACAGAGAGAGACAGAGAGGGAGAGAGGGAGGGAGGGAGAGACAAAGAGAGACAGAGAGAGAGAGAGGGAGAGACACAGAGAGACACAGAGAGAGACAGACAGAGAGAGAGAGATCCATAAGTGGTTCAGACTATAAAACCTAAGACCCAACCCAGTGACATCCTTTTGCCAACCTTGCCTCATCTTCTAGAACCTTCCTGAATATTGGTACCAGTTGGGGATCAGGTGTTCAAATGCATGAGCTTGTGGGGACAATTTAAACCACAACACAACATCCTATGGTTGTAACCTCATTTTTGTTACTAAATACTTCATGAATATTTTTCATTCCTGCTTTAGATGCAATGCTAACTAGACCAACATGTTATGAGTCATGCTTTCTAAGGGGTCTTGTAAAAGTCGTAGATATCACGGAAGGTAGGTCCTCTAGAGAGCTCTAGGACTCCCTTTAGTGGGTGTATGTGACCATTTGAGAGCCTGCCCTGGGGAGTTTGACTGAACAGGAGTTGTTGTTCAGCAACTTAGTGGTGGGGCATTTGTCAGGCATGTGTGATGCTTTGGGTTCAATTCCCTGTACTGCAACAGACAAACCCAAAAGTACAACAGGGCAGTCACTGGTGTGAATGGGGTAGATCCCCATAAGTTTGGAGGTGTTACCTATCCAGAATGCATTTTTTTTAAAGCCCAATCACTTAATCTCTAAGTATGTTTCCACTTCTATAAGATGTGTGGCCTGTAAGGCTTTGGGAAGATTAGAGATGAGTTAGGCAACTGGTGGTCACGTGCCTGGTGCAAAGTGGGCCTTGCTACAAAAGAGGGGGGCAGTTAACAGGTGCGCAATGGCTTCTCTTAATGTTTCCAGGGCTCCCAAACTTGTCATACCCATATAGCATATTAAAAACTATTTCACAGTAAGATGAACCAAACTGCACTTTCACAAGCTACCTAGGAACGGGTAGAATATTCAACCTTCCTGTAAATGGTAGCTTCCAGTAATAAGAAGCTAACCTAACTAGGGCCATTTTTGCAGGAATGGAGGAGGATCATCTCTGAGTAATTATGCCGGGACACAGTTGTGACTATCCCAGGCAAACCCAAGATAGGATCAACATGCATATAGCTGCATTTCCCTGGAGTTATAGTCATGTCTTTTTCAAAGACTAATTTCATTGAATAAAAATGTATCTCTTACTGGAACCTCTAAGTGTCAGCTGGATCTAACTTTCAGTGGTCATTTACTGAGCATGTACTGTAAAGGAAAGAGGAGATCCAACCTCCTGTCTACCTGTGCTTTGTTTACAAGCCTTTGGGGGATGGCTGGCATTTGAGGCTGCTTCTAATTCTTCCTTCTCAGCCACAGATCAGCCCATGGAACCCATCTTGTGAAGAAGCAGGAGATTCATTTTTAGAGTTTTTTTGAAAGTTTCTGTCTATTTAAATAAATGGTGACAAGTCGCTTGTCACTCACCAGTAGCTGCGGGGTTGCTACCACATTAACCCAGCTCATCAGGTCCAGCACTGGCCACCTCTGCTCAGGGGGGTCATTTTGCCCCAGCTACTGCCTTCCCTGCTCTGCAGGGAGAGGGGAGCCTCCAATTCCCAGGGTCCTGTCCACATAGGTGCTGTGTATAGAATAAATTCCTCTTCGTATTTGTGCTCTCTCAGTAGAGACGGTTGTAATTATATTCGTTTCTCCTTTTATTCTTTTCCCACGCACACACGTGCACATACACAACACACATGTACGAGTGTGTATGTGTGTGCGTATGTACTCAAGTGTATGTAAGAGTGCAGGTGTAGTCCCTGTGTGCAGATGTGTAGAGGCTAACAGACGCCTGTGTAGTCCACCTGAATGTTGTGCGTGGTCCTGCCCTGCTTCGGGTGTTGAGTTTGCTGGTTTCTGGGGGCCTCTCTTCTCTCGCCTCCTGTCTCCGGTTGATCTGTCTGGCTGATCGCTGGCCCCACTTGGGATTTTGTCTGGCGAAAGACTGAAGAGCTCTGTGTGCTTTCTCCTTGCAGGTGAAGTCAAGATTGACAGGCCTGTGATCGTGAGCCCACGGAATGAGACCCTGGAGGCAGACCCAGGTAAGCAGGCTTCAGCAGATGTGGAGGGACCAATATTGTGAATTCAAGATGAAGCTAGCATGACCTTCACAACACATACAATAAGTCGGTTACCAAATACACCCGTGGAGGGACAGTGACACAAATTGTGTATTTAAATGATTTTTAAATGTTTTGAATTTATTTCTTAATTTTTTTAAGTTTTTGCCTCTTAGGGCAAAAATCTAGCCATATCCAATTTTCCTACCCTTCCTTTCCAGTAGAGTCTTACTGTCTATGCAAACAGTAGCCACATGCCAAGGTTAAAATGTCTAAGAATACAGTATGTAATTTATCTGATTGACACAGATTTTTTTATCATTGGAGCCAATCTTTTAGGCAGAGGGGTAAAACTATATATGTCAAAAAGATGATAGTTATTCTAAAAAATACTTTTCCAAGGTAGTCAGTTTTTTAAAATATCAAGGAGAGAGATCCATTTTGAACACTGTAGCAATGAATACCCTTTCCTGTTGTGTATGGAGTCAGTCTTTTACTCCTCCTGAGGAGAGAGCCGTGTTAAGCTAGGTGTGGTGGCATGCACTGAAGGATTGGGAGCTTGAGGTTAGCCTTGACTACAAATGGGTTCTGTCTTAAAAACAACAACAACTAAAAGAGGATGGGGATGACTCAGTCAGTAATGTGCTCGTGAGGACCTGAGTTTGGTGTGCAGCATCCGTGTTAGGAGCTGGGTGCCGTGATATATGTTAGTAATATGAGTGCTGCGGAGGCAGAGATGGGTACAGACCTGTCCCTGGATGGCCAGCCAGTCTGGAATAATAAGTGATCTCTGTCTACCCAGAGAGAAACCCGTCTCAAAGGATGTGGATACTGTTCCTGAGGATGTCCAAGGTTGTTGTTCAGCCTCCATGCACATGTATATGCAGATATACCTGAACTCTTACATGCACACACACACACACGTGCACAGATATACTTGCACCATTACACACACACACTGCTTCCTTACATGTACACACACCCACACACAGATACACCTGCACTCTTACATGCACACACACACATATACATATACAGATAACTTCTGCACACACACAGATCTAACTGCACCCTTACACACACACATATACACTACTCCCTTACTTGCACACACATACACACACATACAAATACCACAAAATCTGAAACCAGGAAGGAGGATGAGTATAAGTATACATACTTATTTTCATTGAGGTAAAAAAATGAGACTGTATCATATAATAAAGATAACATAAATTAAAAAAGAAACTTCATATCAACTGGTCATCTGGAATTAAATTCATTTACTTGGACTAAAACTTTTTTTTAAAGCATCTTTTCCTTCCGAAACTCATACTCATCACCTTTTTTTTTAAATAGTATATTATTTATTGTGTATACAGTCTTCTGCCTGCATGGCAGCAGAGGGCACCAGATCTCATTCAAGGCGGTTGTCAGCCACCATGTGGTTGCCGGGAATTGAACTCAGGACCTCTGGAAGAACAATCAGTGCTCTTAACCGCTGAGCCATCTCTCCAGCCCCCTGGACTAAAACTTTATGTTTAAGATAGCCAAGACGATCAAGCTCTTCATCTTAGATAGCTTCAAGAATAAAAGGCAATGAAAATACAAACACCCTAAGTATGTACCATGGTTCTTTCCTGATTTGGTAGTAGAGAGGGTTTTTAGAAAAAAAAGTGAGTGAAGATAGTTTTTATAAATTTGATCATGAAAAAATAAAAGATCTATGTCAAACAAAAATAAAGGCAGCTAGTCTGGAAGGTATTCTGGGAAATTTTTATGTCTATGTCTATGAAGAATGAGTGTCTTTGATTAATGAAGAGCAGCTGGACAACCTGTGATCTTATTGTGAGAAAGAGGCTAATAATGGATCCTATATGTGAGGAGCAGCGAGGGTCCAGTGAACACTAAGCTAGGAAAAAAATGTGTTAATTCACTGGTTGTTCAGGAAGTGTAGGTTGGGGTGCTGGAGAGATGGCTCAGTGGTTAAGAGTGCTGGCTGCTCTTGCAGAAGACCTGGGTTCAATTCCCAGTACCCACATGGTGGCTCACAGTGATCTCTGGTTCCCAGGGATCCAAAATCCTCTTGTGGCCTCTGTGAGCACCAGGCATGCATGTGGTACACAGATATGTATACAGGTAAAACACACGTTCATGCAAAATAAATAAATCTAAAGAAAACAATGCACATGAGCTGGGCTGTAAGAAGAACACATCTAGTGCACTCTAGGCCCTCAGTTCCTGCTCTGGAGCCAGCCATGGAAGAAAGAACAATTTAGCGAAAATTAAACTTGATTTTGCTTCTCTCACTGAGCAATGCTTAGTGAATACCCCTGGTGTTCTGGGTGTGTGTGAAATAGTGAATACCCCTGGTGTTCTGGGTGTGTGTGTGAAATAATGGCTGCATATGCTGCTGGAGATTGAATGGGCTGGCGCAGCCTTACTTGATTGGAGTTTGGCTTTGAGACTATATCTCCTTGGGAGGACTGGAGATGCAGCAAGGCCATGGGTTTCAGTCTCAACACTCTAAGGATATATTATGCCTCCAGGTTTGCGTTCCAAGTAATACATTCAGATATGTGAAAACAGAGATATAAGTAGGATGCTCCTTAAATATTAATCATAATAATGAAACTTGAGAAATTCTGTCCAGTAATAACAATATTGTTAGTGTATAGTTACATTATGAAGTAGTCTCATACCAACATGGAGGCTGAGGTTCCCAGGTCACAACAACTTCCAAGTAATAGACAATAGTATCCCATTCACCTTATTGCTGATGTGTGAACCGAAAGACCAAGATGGAGATAAGTAAAATAACAAACAGTGGCATTCTCTGGGTAGGTGATGAGAACTAGGGACATTTTCCTCCTTCATTTTGCTTTTCTACACTATAAAATGCTCATTCAGTATCCATTTATAAATATAGATAGATTGTAATAAAGGTCAATCAAATGCACTGCTTTTCAGGATCCAGGATACAACTGATCTGCAATGTCACCGGGCAGTATTCAGATATTGTTTACTGGAAGTGGAATGGGTCACAGATTGAAGAGGATGATCCATTCCTAGTTGAAGACTACCAATTGTGAGTTTGCCAGCCAATTTCAATATTAAATTCTGTGCTGCCTATTCTAGTTTTGAATCCAATCCTGAGATCTAGCTGGTGGCTGACAGTTCCTAGCCCCATGCTGCTCGCTTTGAACTTTACCAAGTAATTTAGACGACATTTGTGAGAACTTGTATATTTGTTGTTGTTGTTGTTAAAAATATGTGCCACTGTACAAATGTCACACCAGCTAAAAGCCCTTTTCTTCCATTCCGTTTTATGCTGCCACAGCATTGCAACGAGGTACTCTTCACGTGCATTAAGTACTTTGGAAGACACGTGGAAGAAATCAAGAATCAGCCACTTTGCCTAGGTCTCTATGGGCTGGATAAAGATCTCCTGGGTTTCTATTAACTCCTCCTTCCTGTCCATTCATGCAGTGTCCTTTGTCATCTGCCCCAATCCTATACACCCATGGAGGCCAGAACACTTAAGGCTGTGTGTGTGTGTGTGTGTGTGTGTGTGTGTGTGTGTGTGTGTGTGTGTGTGTTTCTCCATGCAAGCTGGTACTTTTAACATGATTTCTTTGCTACTGAATGTTCCTGACCTTGAGGGTATGCAATGTCTGATTCATCTTGCCAATAGACTATTTGTACATGATCAAGAGAAGTGATTAACTGGACCTGTAGGTCTTACTATTTGTTGCTGCATTTAACCTCCTCTGTTTTAATTACTTCCCTTCTCTCTCTCTCTTGAACAGTGTGGAACATCCTTCGGCCAAAAGAAAGTATATGCTCATTACAATACTTAACATTTCAGTGGTCCAGAGTCATTTCTATCGGTACCCATTTACCTGTTTCGTCAAGAACTCAAATATTATAGAGTCAGCACATGTTAAATTAATATATCCAGGTAAGTAACAGACGTTTGCATAACCTAACAGATTGTGTAGCCTTGCGGATTCCTGTGTTATTTTCTTCTGGAACATTCCTCATCCCTTCTTCAGCTGTGACTTCTCATCATTTTTTGCTTCTCGTCCTCAATTCTCTGTTTGGAAACTTTCCCACCCCCTTGCCTCATCTGACCCTGCCTCTCTGCTTCTATTTGGGTACCACATTGGAGGCCTCATGTGTTCTGGGCACAGGAGCTCTTTTAGGGTTTTTTGTTTGTTTGTTTGTTTTGTTTTTTTGACTAAAAGTTCCGTAAGGATGCCAACCATTTCTCTTACTAATTATTATTTTCCCAAGGCTAGTAGCTAGCTATATTTGCTTCATGTTCATTATCTCCTGGATGTTTTTAAGCACATGACCAAACAAGATGGTTGGTTATACAAGGAAAGCATAAATATCCTGTCTATAACAAAGACGTGTGAAGTCATTGGTTTTCAAGAATTTGTATAGTAAAAAAAAACTAGTACTGAAAATAATTGTGAATACTGTTTAACTACTGTGTAGTATTTAAAGCAGGGCTTAAAAACGAGGGCATGTGTGCGAATATAACTTAAATAAATAAAACAGAAAAGTAACGTCATTGAGTATTTAGATGTTTTCTGGATGCTCTGCATGTGCTGACAATGAAAAGTCACTTTCTTTGTCTCCCCTTCTGGGTTCTTCTCCACTTTCCTTTCTCTCCGCCTGCCACTTCTCTCATCTCTCTCTCCCACACTCCTCTTCTTTGGGTGAATTATGAGGAGAGACCAAAAGGATGTGGAATGTGAAATGTCACTTTTTGTCTGTCCTCCATCTTTTAGTTTCTTCTTAACAGACTCCCTTCTCTCAGGGAATCATTCAGGCTTTCTATGATTTTGACTTCTCCTGTTGTGCTACAGTGAACTCCGTCTCTATGGTCCCCAACAGGTTTTCTCTAACTGTGCAATGTGCTTTAGGTGGAAATTTCAAAGAATGAGCTTCTATTTTCTATGGACTTAGGCTGCATTGCAGGCTCATTAGTGTGCATTCCTACAATGACAGTGAATGACCAGACGTGGATCTGGGGTGCAAATTGGTTCCCAAATGCACGCTCTTTGCAGTAAAGATATTCAAATTGCTATGATGAAAGTTCTTATTTTTTTGGGCTCTAATAATTTTCTCTTTTTGTTGTAGTCCCTGATTTCAAGAATTACATCATTGGGACCTTTGTCATCTTAACAGCTACAATCATATGCTGCGTTTTCATCTATAGAATCTTCAAAGTTGACATTGTGCTTTGGTACAGGGATACTTGCTCTGATTTTCTCCCCCCAAAAGGTATAATTTCATATTCCATGCAATGTTTCCTCTGGACAGTTAGAAGATGACTCATAACATTTTTACTGAAGGCTTTTAGTGATATTGGCTTACATAAGAAGAATACTTATTCTTACTTAGTTTCATAACTGTTAAGCCTCCATGCCATTCATTTCTAAGTCACCACCCTAGCTTCCATATTGGCAGGATACACAGGTGTTTGGAACATCTGTCTATAAGTTGGTTACCCAGAATCCATTGTTAGGGCCTGTTCTGTGCTGTATGTGCCCTATGGATCCATGATCCACAGTCAAATGAAAGACATTTCCACATCTGAGGAAGGGTCCCTCCCTCTTTCTCTTTAACACCACAGAATCATATCAAACTAATACAGAAAGAAGAATAAGTAGAATATAAGCTTGGGGTATTTAGAGAATTGGGTAAGAAGAAGGCCATAAAGGTATGAGCATATTGAAAGTATATAGGGTAGCATTAAATGCTATGTGAGGACCATTTTATAGGAAAACCCAATAGAGAACATGTAAAATGTGAGAATTTTAAAAGATATTGTGGGGGACAAGGGAAAAGAAAGGGTCATGAGGGTGAGTGTGATCTGGGTACCTTGTACACATCTATGGAAATGTCACAATGAAACATAATTTTTGGAGTTAATATATACTAATGAAAATAGATGCTGACACTAAAAACTCAATGTGATTTTTTTTGTTGAAGAAAAGTGAAAAGCTTCCAAGTGTAACGATATTCTATAGGTAAAGTCAAATGTACAAGTTCAAGGAGAAATAGGAGCAATTTGCAAGTTGCTAATGTTAGAAAAGAAGCTGTGGCTGTCTGCATTAAGCTCCAGCCAGTCAGCATCCCAGCATGGAAGATGAGCAGCTCATGAAGCCGCAGCCCCAGCTAAGGAGCGATTTGTAGCCGCCAGTTGCTGGGAACAGTCAGTTTTCGTTGATGCTATGGCTCCTGGTAGCTGCTCACGTTCCAGAAGATGGATCTAAACTGATGTTGGTGCAAAGAGCATCAATTTTGCTTAGTAGGGTATAAATAAGGGAAGTGAAATTAGGAGGGCAAAAAGTTGGAGAGGTCGATATCAAAATACACTCTGCACATGTGTGAAACTCATAAGGAGTGAATGAATATATTTTTGAAACAGAAAAAGGTTGCTCATATGTTTTTAAAGTTAATGTTAGCAAATATAAAATATTCCATTATTTAGATTATATTTTGTACATTCAAAAGGGTGATACGATCCATTTTTGTTAGTAGTCAAGGGTTACAATCTGATTACAGGCTTTGTGACTATTGGTCTTAGCTAAGGTCTCTGTTATGGTGAGAAAATGTCATGACCAAAACAAACCTGGCAAGGAAAGAGTGTATGTTACAGCTTGTAGTCAGGAAGTCAGGGCAGAAACTCAGGCAGGAACTTGGAGGCAGAAACCTACAATGGGCTGGGCCCTCTCCCATCAATCTCAATCAAGAAAATGCCCTACGGGCTTGCCCACAAACTAGCCTAGTAAGTGTTCTCAGCTGAGGCTCCATCTTCTCAAATGACTAACTTGTGTCGACAAGAACTAACCTGGACACTATTTAAATATCTGAGGAAAAAAAATTAAATGCACACATAAAAATGTGTGAGAGGCCTATCATTCTTTAAAATGTTAAGGAGTGTGGAAACAAAAATTGCAAACTACTACTACATTGAATTTAAAGTGGCGTTAGATGTGCGGTATTGCTCTTTTGGTTGGGCAATTGTACCAAACTAAAACGAATGTTCTTGGTGGTGACTTTATTGAGTGTCTTGTTCTCCACCCGCTGTGGTTCTAAATGTATTTTGTTTCCCTTTTAGCTTCAGATGGAAAGGCCTATGATGCGTACATTCTTTATCCCAAGACCTTCGGGGAGGGACCATCGTCAGACTTAGATACATTTGTGTTTAAACTGTTGCCTGAGGTCTTGGAGGGGCAGTTTGGATACAAGCTGTTCATTTGTGGAAGGGACGACTATGCCGGGGAAGGTATGGAAACACTTCTAGTGATGTTATCGGCTGAGTTCCGATTCTAGAGGGTTGGCTCCATTGGACATCTTTGAAGACTTTAAAGAATTTCTCCAATGGTGTATAATATTAAATTTTCTCTTAGCTCCTTGAGTCAACATTTAATTGATTTTTATTCTTTTGGGACATTTACTGACTAGTTAGATCTAATAGCCACACTGCAACTGGTTTCCTAAACTAGGAGTATTATTATAGAGCAAATGATTTAGCAAGACATTTTAACGTTTCTGACTGAGGGTTTTCTGAGTTCCAAGAGCAAAGTACATCTTTTGTGTGTTAGTTCTTAAGCTGGTCTGTAAAGTGAAAATGTCTTTGGCTCTCAAGTAAGGCAAGGGAAGAGCAGCAGGAGCCATAGGACAGAGATTGGGAAGAGCTTTCTGAGGGCTGAGTTCAGAAAGAATGTCTAGACAGTGGCTGGACTGACCACAGTGTGCTCTGTGTCTTTCAGATACTATCGAGGTCACGAATGAAAACGTAAAGAAAAGCAGAAGGCTGATTATCATTTTAATGAGAGATATGGGCGGCTTCAGCTGGCTGAGTCACTCATCTGAAGAGCAAATAGCGATATATAATGCTCTCATCCGGGAAGGAATTAAAGTTGTCCTGCTCGAGTTGGAGAAAATCCAAGACTATGAGAAAATGCCAGAATCTATTCAATTCATTAAGCGGAAACACGGAGCCATTTGCTGGTCAGGGGACTTTAAAGAGAGACCTCAGTGTGCAAAGACCAGGTTCTGGAAAAATGTGAGATACCACATGCCTGCCCCAAGGCAATCACCATTGTCCACACATCATCTACTAACCCAGGATCCTGTGCTAGACACTAAGGAGAAACTGCGGGCAGAGACTCACTTACCTCTCGGCTAGTGTGGCGGAAGTGGACCAGGATGCTGAAGCTAGGCTGTGCCTCCCAGTAATGTGTACTGTCATAAAACACACCAGTGTAGTCCCTTATCCCCAGGTCACCTGGAGTTATATTGTTCAGGGAGTAGGACTTGGTGACAGTGGTGGGCTAGGACAGTTTGGAGTGAGCGTTTGGGACGCTCCAGGGAAATGGCTGCTCAGGGAAGCTGCTTGGATGCCAGCTAACTGTTGAGGCAGTGAACTGGGAGGATTAAACATCAGGAGAGGGCCACATCTGTGGGTGGTTCCATTAAAGTCTGTGGGACTTTGGTTGTCCAAGGACACTTTGGGGGTGTCATTGGCAAAGAAGTGGCTTCCCTAAGCCTCAATGAAGGTGAGATTTACTGACACCCCACTGTGGAAGGCATGACTTCCTTGCATTTTCCAGACACCTCAGCCACCAAATTTAGTTTTCAAAGACTAACCTTTATTTTAAAGACCTTGGAAACTGTCACTTCAACAAAGGAATTCTCTTGGGTTTCCTCCAACTGTTGTTGCTTTGGCTTTCTGCAGAAAAGAGTGGATTTTAAGCTCAGTGTAGAAGGAAGCCACACACAAGTTTCTTCTGCTCACTTGTCCACCCTGGAATGACTGTTGCATCATCTGTACCCGCCTGCACTTTGCTTATTGCTTCTCTGGAAATGCAGGTCTGCAGTGCGCTCTACCCCACTCTGTCACAAGCGCAGCTCCAGCATGAGCATCCGCCCTCATGCACTGGCTTAGCTCACCCCCTGAAGCGACAGCACGTCTACAGGCTCTTCATGTGCAGGCTAAAGTCTGTAACATTCCTCCCCATCGCGTCCCCTGTCCCAGGCCTCTCTTGTCAGCCTGCTCATCAGCATCCTGCCCTGTGGCTGCAGCAGAGCCTCGGGAGCCTGCGCTTCTGCTCTCAACACACCTCCCTCTTTGCTGTGCTTCCCACTTCCTGTGACGAGGATTCGCTCTTTCTTCACCTGACAAGGAATTTGCTAGAGTCCAAAATTATTTCAATGCTGAAATCCTCAAGTGCCTAATCTCTCCTTCCTCTAAGTCTTGGCCACTCAAGCTGCCAGCCCTTCTGTCATGCCAACCGTGCTGCCTGCTGGTGGTCACTTTAGGAGGTGGTTTCTTCACCAGCAGGAATCAGTCCACCCCCAGGGAAAGGTAGTGGGTGTGTCTCTGTCCCCCACTGCTTTCTGCAATGTGAATACATGGTATATAGATTGACCAAGACCTTTATTTTAAAATGTTCTTGGTTCATCATGTTTAAAATTGCAATTATCCTAATTTTACATACAGGTCAGGGAAACTGACCTATTTAACGAAATTACTCTTTTAACTCTACTGGACCTAGGCCTTGACTTTGAACTTTCTGGTTTCTATCCCTGTGCTCCAACTTTTTGATTTCAGATTCATCACTGTCCATTTACCCTTACTCAATCCTCATATATAGGAAGCAACTGAGTCCAGGAATGTTTTTACAGAAGGAACAAACACAGTCCTTTTCAGTGTAGGGATTTATAAAAGCTAACTTTAGAATTTCAGCATGATGTTTTTATTTTCCAATTCCCTAAAGGTCAACATTTCTTCTCTAACTAAAAAGGAAGGCAAATTGGTTTTTGTGGTACAGAGGTTTTCTGTTTGCTTTTGACTTGATGACTGTCTTCAGAATGATCCTAATAGTTCTAGAAGATTGCAAAGCCGGGTTTGCATGCCAGGAAGAAACCCACGATTTTAAGGGCTGTATGAACATTGGATACCCTTCTGTCTTTCACGTTTTGAGTATCTGCTCTGGATGAGCACAAATCTTACTTAAAAGGCATCTTCTCACCTACATAGAGGTAGACCAGTCCTACAGCTTGGGATTTTGACTCCACTTCTCTTTTGTCCTGGATCCAACCTGAGAGTACTGAGTGGACGGATCACTGGATTGCTGGGTCGGAGAAAGGAAGGCTGTCCCAGATGGCTGATCCTTACCCATGATGCTTTAAAAGTTAAATTTTGCTGATAGTTTTTTTTGGCTGTCATCCAGAAAATATATTGGTATACGTGTATATTATGAGTGAATTAGAGCCAGTGGGAAACTTGGCCAGAAAGTTTAAGGAGAGAGCAATAGCAGAGGACCACAAATATTGGGACACCAAGAACTGGGGTGGGTTTGGGAGCAGAGGCAAGGGATCAGCGTGTGCCAAGAAAGACCCTGAGCTGAAAGGTAGTGCCATTCCTGGTTCCCAGAGGAGGATAGAGAGGATGAAACTTCATATCCAGGCAGTGGGGGCTCCCTTTGACTTACCCCTCCTCCCCAGAAGTATCTGGCTTACGTGTTTCCCCAGTACTCTGACTCCGCTATGCTTTCTGATGGTGTTTTTAAAAGGCCGACCAAGAGTTGCAGAAGTTCGCACATGCAACGATATATTAATTACCAGTGTTTAAAACTGGTTTAGCAGAATGTATCTCTCCTGAGTTTTGCATTTTACTTATAGTGATAGAAAAAGTATTGAGCCATTTTAATGACTTTTTTATAAATTATATTTATACCGATCTATAATGAAGGGTGTTTTTTATTAAAAAAACTTGATTTTATAATTCTCCAGCAGATGCCAAATGTTAGTATCACAAACCACCAAATGTACATGCAGTATATATTATGGATCAATAGACTCAACTTGTTTTCCAATAAATTGTCAAATCCTCCATTGGATATCATTGAAAATCTATTTCTCTGTTTGTCCTTTCTTCAGCTTACACACGTTTCAAGGCCTGATATAAAAGACGATGTCTTCTGCAGGATGTTCTTCTGGGGTGGGGGAATAGAGATCAGTGCTGATCAGCTTTATGTCAACTTAACACAAGCTAGAGTCATGGGCAAGGAGGAAGCCTCAGTTGAGAAAATGCATCCACAACATCAGGCTGTAGGCAACCCTGTAAAGCATTTCCTTAACTGGTGATTTATGGGGGAGAGCTCAACCCATGGTGTGTGCTTCCATCCGTGGGCTGGTTGTCCTGGGTTCTATAGCAAAGCAGACTGAGCAAACCATGGGGAGCAAGCCAGTAAGCAGCAGCCCTCCATGGCCTCTGTATCAACTCTTGCCTCCAGGTTCTTGTCCTGTTTGAGCTCTGCCCTCACTTCTTTAATGATGAACAGTGATGTGGAAGGGTGAACCAAATAAACCCTCTCTTTCCAAGGTGACTTTGGTCATGATGTTCATCACAACAATAGTAATTCTAAGATGGGGTCGGAGGTCACTGGTCCAACAGTCTTATAAGCCCTGATTTCCCTTATGTAGCCCATCTGTTCTTTTGTAGTGGTAGATCACTTACCTAGTTTGTGGAAGCTTGATCCCCAACACAGCACTAAGTTGATCAGTAAACAAATGTAAACAATGTATTCTGTTACTGTTATCATTATTGTTATTGCCCCCTTTACCCTTTATGCTTCATGCAAACATGTATTTTCTCTCAGACAAGAGCAAGGCATCTAAAATGAATGTGGTGAAGCTGCTTGACTTCAATGATCAGAGAGTCTTCATAGTTTCATTGAGTAAAACACTCAATACAAATAATTAAAATGTAGTAACACAAAAGTTTGTAGTCTGGTGTCCAGAGAACTTGCCTTTCCCAAATTTCCCCTCAGAAGAAACCAATATCCTAGTGTGCTTCTGTCCTTTGACCAGTTAATATTTTAGCAATGTGTTAGGTCAGATCTAACACTGTTAATAAGTCATAAGTAACCCCTATTCATCAAACGGTACTCCCTGTATATTTTAAACTAGCTTCTCTTGGGGATAGAGGTCTCTGGACTTATTTTTCATTAGAGTGCCGCCTGCTTATAAAGACCTGAGTTATGCATCCCTGACCAGTCATAATTCTGAATGAGAGTAAAGCACCCAGCTCCTTTGAACCCTAGTTTTGCTCTCTATGGTAAGACTTCATGTGTGTCTAGGTCACAGGAGGAGTGCCTCTGTCTAGACTCCATATGAACCTAGGGCACACACGGAGCACCTCGAGTATCTGGGACAGAATTTCTAAATATTTTTTTCTTAATTTTAACAGTTAGTGAATGGTACATTTGAAGGGGCCAGAAAGGTTTTCATTTTCACTAAAATAGATTGCAGAAATGAATCACTACAATAACAAGAACACATGGGAGAGGAAATCGTATACAAAGAAACAGCATACAAGATGCAGGGAGAACCGGGGGAGTAATATTATTTATTTTATAAACAGAATTAAGGCCTCCCTGTGTGTAGGGGGAAGGTGGGCATTTGCATGTGTGTGCCCGAATAAGGAAGGAAGGAAAGCATTACAGGAAAAGGATGATGCTATTTAAAGTGAGCACTAGTCTTTCCAACCAAGGCAGGCTCCTCTTTCCCCAGGCTGCTCAGCGGGGCTGCTGAGGAAGGCTTGGCAGACAAAGTGTCTAATTCCTGTACATCCATGAGTCTTAAATCTGAAAGTGAAACACTACCTCTGCCGTCCTGAAATGTGGAGCTGCTAGACCAGTTGGGCCTGTATTACTAGACAGGAAGGATCCTGTTGACTCCTGCTCTGAGCTCAGCCTTCCAGGAGCCATGTTTGCTCAACCTTCTTAGGGACTTCTTACCTAGAAGTGATTGTGAGTGTCCTTTGGGCTTTGTTTCCTGGTCTAGGAGGTATCTGGGGGCTCGCTGGTTTTCTGCCACTCAGTGTGTCTGGAGACATCCCTGTCTTTGACAGGGATTGCCTGTTCCCAGCTCACATGGGACTCCACCTGCCTGGCTCCTGCTTTCTTTTTTTTTAATCTTCTCAGCCATCTTACATGCTCGCTGAGCCTGATTCAGATACAGCACCCTGTTTACCTTGAGGCCTGGGCGCAGTGGTTGTCTCTCTTGAACACTTTAAATAGTTAAACAGAGTTCCCAGTTCTGCTTAATTTCTTCTGAAGCCCTGAGTTTCTTGTAGGATTACATTCACTGGCTAATCTCCAGACTCTAAAATGAATTGCAAAGCCTAAACGCCAAGGAAACAAAGTGGCCAATCACCAAATGGCTAGTAATTGAATAGATAGATTTCAAAAAAAAGGAAACACAAATGGGCAATAAATATTTTTCCAAGTGCACAATATCAGGGAAATGCAAATTAAAACTACTTTGAGATAGGATCTCACCTCAGTCAGAACTGCTGTCCTCATCGAATCTGACAAGAAAGGCTTGGAAGAACTTGGAGAGGAACCTTATTCCCCAGTGCTGGGAATGCAAATTAATAGAGTCATTAGAGAAATCAGTTTGGAGGTTCCTAAAATTAAAAAAATAGAACTCTTATATGACCCAGCTATTTCATTCCAGGGCATGGGTCCAGAGAACTTCATACCTTTCCACGGAGATATTTGCACCCCCGGGTTTATTGGGGGCTCCATTCACTATAGGAAGGAAATGGAACCTACCTAGTTGTCCATCAACAAATGGGCAGATGATAAATATGTGGTTCATATTAAAAAAAAAAGAGCCGGGCGGTGGTGGCGCACGCCTTTAATCCCAGCACTCGGGAGGCAGAGGCAGGTGGATCTCTGTGAGTTCGAGGCCGGGCTGGACCGATAGCCTCCAAAACAATACAGAGAAACCCTGTCTCGTAAAAACCAAAAAAAATAAAATAAAATAAAATAAAAAGAACGCCAATTAGCTCTAAAGTAAAAATGAAGTCACAGTGCGTGCGTGCGTGAGTGCCTGCGTGTGTTCGTGTGTGTGTGTGTGTGTGTGTGTGTGTGTGTGTGTGTGTGTGTGTGTGTGCAGGCATGTGCACGAAGGGGAAAATTACGGAAATGTCATCTCTCTCCCGCTCTTCATCAGTTAGGCAGTCAGGCACTTTTCCGCTCCTGCAGCTTGGCCTGTCACTAGCTGCTCTTCCTGTTAGATAGCCAGTTGCCTTGCCACTGTCAGCAACCAGTCTGCTGACTGCTCAGCAGTGTCAGGGTCTCAAGCTGGACCAGTCATTGGTTGGCCACTCCCACAAGTTCTGTGCCGCCTTTACCCTAACACATCTGCAGGCAGGACCCAGCCACAAAGTCTTCGACTTTGTGGCTGGGTTCGTGTCCCAATCCTTCAAGTGGAAACCTGTCGTATTTACGGAAGATGGCTGGTTCAAGCTCTGTATCTCTCATTACTAGAAATTTTCTCTGGGGTCACCCTCTTAGATTCCAGGGAGTTTCCATTGCACAGGTTTTTACCTTGTCCTCCAAGTGCCCTGCACCCCGCAATTCCAGCCATCTCTCCAGTACTTTCTTCCTCCATCCCTACCTCCAACCTGATCCCTCTTGTTCCCATCACCACCTGTCCCCAGTACACCTGAGATGATAAGATAATAATAATAACTAAATAACTAAATAAAGTTAAAAATGGAAGGTTGAAAGTCAAGGACTGACTCCCAAAAGCTATCCTCTGACTTCTACATGTGTACCATGTCATGTGCATACCTGCACACACACACACACACACACACACACACACACCTATAGATACACTTGTACACATCTGTATACATACGAAAACTTGGCCCAAATCTTTTTTCCATTATATTTGAAGAATTGTCTGTATGTTGTTATTAAGGCTGTCAAATGGATGGCTTTTCTGTTTCTGTTGGCCATCTAGATCTCCTCCTCCCGTTTTTAAATATATACAGCCTAAATGGCAAACTACCTTTCCTAATAAAGCTTGTTCCCCTCCCTGATAACATACTTGGTGTGGTTGCAGAAGGACATGACTAACTACATTCTGCAGAGACTCTGTCTCACATGGAGGGCATTAGTGAGAATGAGCATTCGTCTGGAGAGCATTGCAAATTTGGTGGTCAAAACCAATATCCTTCTAAATGAACATTCCTTTGCCGATTAAGTATTCATGTGTCTAAAAACTTTATGTAGAAGTACCTGGCCTTTGGGGACAGCCTTTGCTTCCAGTTCACGCCAGCCCGCATTAGTGAGCAAGCATGCTCAGACAGGAGGCAGGTACCCTACCTCTCGGATGACTAGCTGCTCTTCCTAATCACCCACTTTCTCCCGACGACATTGAGGAGGGGCAAATGTGAGCCTTTTTGTTTTTGATAGGGAAATATGCCAGAGCTGGTTTGAAAATGTGACCCAGGAGCAGCAAGAGTCAAAAAGGATTTGGGACATTAATGGCAGAGCTGGGTGGAACCAAAATATACCATCGGCTTCTGGGCCCTGTGACTGTGAGTGTCACCTGTGGAGTGCCAGGACAGATGGCTCCATGCTGTTCAGGCTTGAAGGACCAGGAGACATCAGCTAAAGGTGAGAGGGTCCTGAAGACTTGTCTGCACCTCTAACTCTGGTTTCTTATTCTGGAGAGAAGGGTCATCGAGGATTCACAACAACATTAGACACACAGCCATGGACAAAATGGGTTCCTCTTTCTACAGACCCAGAGCAGGGAATAAGACTTCCTAACTGAAGCCACACAGCAAGGTTTCCTTTTTCTGCAGGGGGAAGTGATTTGCTAATGGGACTTTAGTTTGGAATGGGATCTCCTGGGGGCAGTGGATGTCTACAAGCTGGAGAACTTCTGAAAGTGTGCATGCATGGGTGTGAGTGTAAATGTAACAGAGTCTTTTAAGCTCTGTAGTGTTGGTTATTATACCAAACAGTGCCCCATCTAGAGCCAGTATTTGCCACTCTACCTGATAGATGTCCAGACTTTAGGGTCTGCTCCAGTGTGTGGTTTTGTGGCTCTCTAAATGTCATTTAAGTTAGACCGAAATTGAGAAAGAGCTGAGACATCATTACAGATTTAAAATGTGTCTTCAGATGTTAATCTCCACTGTCATTGGCAAACCCCAGCCACATCACCTATTTCTTAGACTGTTCATCAGCCTCCTGACTGGGGCCCTGTAACCCTACCTCCTATTGAGAGTTTTCACAAGGGATTTTTCTTGATTTATCGGGGTGCATGTTTGGAAAATGCATGCTATAAGTGAGCGAACCAATGTGACAAGCATATAGGTCTCAAAAAGACCCCAACACAGGAACATCTTCCTTGGGTATCTGTTGATAGCTCGACTGACTAATCAGCTGAGGCTTTCCCCAAGGCCCTGATGCATGGAGAAGGAACACAGCTCCTTATCTGAACCAGGGATATACTTGGCTGAACCAGTGGTGGCCTGGGGCCAGGACTCTGGGGAAGCTGTGGCTTCAGATCCTGAGAACCCAACTCCTCCCACTGTATGGAGCTATTGGTTATCAGTACCAAGGCCACTGTGTGCTCATCTGTAATGATCTTGAGATACCGTGTCCCCCGTGTGCAGCACTGTTTGATTAGTGTCTTGCTGACTTTGCCCCATTATATGATAGCTCCTTTTGACAACCCCATTTCTCCCTTGGAAAAGTATATAACTGTGCTGTACTTTTTAATAAGCTTGAGCGGTATAAGATGCAGCTTGTAGAAGACCTCCCGATCACATACTTTCTTATCTTCTCTCTTTTTTCTATCTACTTTATCTTCTGATGTCCTGGTCCTCTCTCTCTCTCTCAGGACCTTGCTACTGAAGAACGACCTGCTGGTCTAGGTCCCAACCCCCACTACCCATGTCCCAAGGGAACACACTATCCTGACATTCAGTACTATATACTGACTTTGCTTGGTTTTGACTATTTTATTTACCCCCTTCCTCCCTCCTATTTTCCCCTATCCACCCATCCTACTACTCCTTCCCAACTTCATGTGCTCTGTTTTTAAAACCCGAGGAGTCCACTTAGTGCTCAGCGCTTTTGGTGTCTTTAGTGGTAAAGGTAACATTTAAGCAATGAGTGTGATTTAGGTATTCTAATATCTTTTAATTTTACTTTTAATTTTATAATAAACTCAGTGACTGTGCTGTTGTTCTCTGGCCCCGCATGGTCTAGCTCCTTTGTTTATCTACCTTTCCCCTTCTTTGCTATCGTGATCACAACACCTTCATTTCAGCTTTTTTGGAACCCCCCCACACTTTGTCCTTCAGAGATTTTGTACTGTTTTGTCATTCTTCAGGGGAGCTCTCCTAGGCTGGAGAGACAGCTCAGCAATTAAGAGTGTGTAGAGCTCTTGCAGACAACCAGAGTTTGGTTCCCAGAACCCCTATGAGGTAGTAGCTAACACCTATAATTGCAGCCCCAAGGAATCTGATGCCCTCTTCTGGACCCATGGTCACCTACACTCACATGCACAATTAAAAACGAGCCTTAGAAAGTAAAAGGAGAGCTCTTCTCCCAGGTGTCCACCTCCTGTGCTCCAGGCCACTGTTCAGGAGCAAGGCTATGACTATGACACCTTTTCTATCTTTTCATTGGATTTGACACCATATGTGCTTCTTAATAGTTGAATATCCTTTAAAAACTTATGTATCAGAGAATAATAACTGCAAGCTGTAGAAGGGCCCATCTCTCCAAGCCATGTTTCCAGAACTCATTGTGTCATCGGGCACATTGGGAATGTGTTTAATGCTTGGCAAGAACACAGGGCAATGAAATCCTCTTTGAGAGAATGCTATCATGGAAACAATTAGAAGTTTGCCAATGCAGATGAACTCATTTAATGATCAGGGAACTGCTCTCAAACTTGCAAGAGGACATTGCCAGAACTGACACAGCAACACTATTTGCAATAAATAGCCAAATGTTAAAATTGGAGCAGCCAAAATGGCCAAAGGGGAGGGACGGGTAGGTTGTGTGTGCTCATACAATGGCATGCTATACAACAGCAAGCCTGTATTAAGAAGGACAACACCATGAATGTTTAAATCCCACAAATGTAAGGCTTCTATGAAAAAGCAAGTTATATAGGTATGCAATGTAGTAAATTTTATACGGTGACTAAGAAAACCTATATAAGAATACCTTTTATTGCTTAAAGAACCTCCCACCCCCTTCTCACACACACACACTACACACAGTGGGGAGGAGGAGAGGCCAGTAACCACCTAACTTAAGATGAGAGTTTGGGCCTGGGCGATAGTCACAGGAAGACTGGAGAAGTTTCCTTCTGCTTGCTGCTGACATGACACTGTTTGTTTGGGATTCTGTCACCCTTAACAACTGTATGGCTTATGCTTAAAAGGAAGGACATGAAAGTGAAACGCAGAGAGGAAGAGATTGGACTCAGAAGGTTCCTACTAAAGCCAGGTTTCTTCTGGCCATCACAAACACAGCTAAAGTTATCCTTTGGGCCTCCAAAAGTACATGTTCAGTCCCTCCCCACCTGCTTCTCTGGGAGAGTCTGGAGACAAAATTTATGGCCTTGCATTTTCATTTTTCAAACTTGAATCAGTTCCGTGTTGTTTACATTGCTAGAGTCAGTTTACACCGATTAAATTCAGCCTCCTCTTACCAGCTTCTTCTACTCTGACGTTTGACTTTTCTTTTGTTTAACTTCCATTTTGGTAGGACCTGTAGCGTCTATTTCTTCTGTTTCTTATTTTGCTTAGCGTCATGTTGTTTACTGAAAAGCTCACAACCCCCAATCTGCTTTGTATTCCAAGCCCAGTGATTGATTCTTGGCGAATCAACAAACTCATTCACAACAGAGATCATCCCGGAAGTGTAAGGCAATGGGGCGGGGAACCTGATCACCTTAACTTTGTGAGCACGGGATGGCTAACAGAGGAGACTGACCCTGTGGTTGTTAGGAAAGTCTCACTGTCCCTAATTCCGCAAGGACAACTAGGAATACCCGGCTAAGAAGCTGGTGGGCTGGTTGCACTTGAGGTCTTTTTCCTCTTCTCAATGCCCTGTGGGGGTCTCTGGTGCCTGCTGGGACCACAGATCCGGGTGAGCATCTCTTTAAGGAGATTTTAGACCAGAGTGGTGCTCAACCTGTGGGATGACTGTTGTACAGAAAAATCTAGCACGAGAACATAGGGTTAATACCTTCTCACAGAAGCCATGCGGAATGGCTTCCACTTCTGGGACAGTGTCGGGCATGTAAGAACCATTCAAATAGAGTTTGGAAAGGAAGGTTTTTTTTTTTTTTTTTTTTTTTTTTTTTGCCGCGATCTGAAGCAGATGTAAGCCCACATTCCTGATAGATGAACATGATAGCTTGGAATCAGGCAAAATAAGACTGAATGTTCTCTAGGGCTGGGTTCATTCTGTCCTGCTCCACTTGGGGAAGGTGAGTCTGCTCCGCCCGCGGCGGAGAGGCGATGCCCCGGCTGCGGAATGCGGTGACCGACCTTGATCTGGTTCCTGACGGGGTTCCTGATCTACTTCAGGAGACCCGGCGCTCCGGGACCCCATAGGCAGGTGGATCCCCGCCCCCTTCCCGGTGTGTCCCGGGCAGCATCGACTCTAGAGGAGGGCAGAGGACAGAGGGGAGCCTGCGATTCCACTGGGGCGGCTTGGCGACTGTCTCCTCCCGGACACGGAGCCTGAACTCAGGCTGGGGTCTTCAGGCTTGGCTCATTCTCTCCCCTTCCTGCCTGCCGTTCCCAGATGGACCTGCGACTACTGCTCAATCAGCGGGAGTTTGGGGGTTCCAGAGAGCTCTCCTGACCCAGGCTGTCTCAGGCGCGCGCTGGGCGGGTCCATAGCCTGCTCTGGCTGCGGTGAGATCGCTCTAAGTGGCAGAAAGATCTGCTACTAAGTCTGCCCCTTGTCACCCAGCCTCCCCCACCGGTCCCCTCCTCAGGCCAGTCTGGGTTTCTGGACTTCTGAAGGTTAGTACAGAGCAGTGGTATGGAAAGAGGGTGAGGACAGGCAAGCCTTGGAGTGGTGAGGCGGACATGGAGGGCTGAGTTCTCAGAAGTCTTAGTCTTGATGCTTGGGGGAAGGTGTACCCAGCCCGGCTGCATCCCTTACTTCTCCCGTAGTCTTCTTTTCCCCCTGTAGCCCAAAATGTGGATGCGGTCCTGGTCCTTGCTGCTGTGCGGGGTGTCGTTCGCGCTTCCACTTTTTGTGATAGCAGGTACGTTCTGTGAGTCCTTGGGTCCCAGACGCCTGTCTCCTTTGGACAACATTCTTTGTCACTCATCTTCAGGGCCTCAACTAAGCCCAAGCTTTGCTAATCACTGCTCTAGATGATCTGGTAGGCAGAGTCCAAAAAAAAAAAAAAAAAAAAAAAAGGGGGGGGCGGGGGTGGATAGAAAAAGTCTATTCCTAAGTTCTTGAAGCCTCAACCCCAGATGCCACCTTGGAACTTTAGACTAACTTAGTTGATGTGGGAAATTGTCACTCAATTCCAATGCTTAAGCGGGTGGATTACTAGCTGCGGCTATTTCGTATAACGGGTTATTTTTTGGTCTAAAAGCTACCAGAGACAGATCAAATTTCTAAGAAAAACTAACTTGGCATAAATGGGCTTTAAAAGGAAGGTGTCTTTAAAACCATCCACTGACTTATCCAACTCAGCGAGGGACTGCAGGGCAGGAAGCATAGGTAGCCAGGATGGGTCAGTGCTGTGGGGGGGAGGGGGACAGAGAACTAAGGGCAGCCGAGTAGAAGAATAAAGGCAAAGGGCATGGCGGTTTTGTGGAGGGGACTGCAGAAGGCCTGTCCTCATGTTTTCTGGAGTGAACAGCGACACCAGTGTTCTGCCCTGGTGTTTCTTGTGTTTCCCTCCCTAGGCACGTGTGAGGATACTGACATGCACCACGAGATCATTTCAGAGGGCCGGCCTTTTGCTTTGAATTGCACATACCCTCCAGTAACAAACGAGGCAGTCAATCTGACATGGCACAGAACCTCACCCACCCGAAGCTCAGTATCCAACAACAGACAGCTTAGAAATCACCAGGACCACACGTGGATTTTGTTTCTTCCTTTGGAAGAGGGGGACTCGGGCATCTACCAGTGTGTTATAAGGTAAATCCCTCATTTAAAGGAGAACCAATTCACATACTTCCCTCTCCATTCATATATATGTCCTTTAAGAAAACGGGTGTTACTAACCTTTATTTTTGAGACTCGTTATATAGCCTAGACCGATTTCCAACTTACTCAAGCCCTGAAAGTGCTAAATGACAGATGTGAGCCACCAAAACCAGCACGAAGGTACACAGAGGCAAAGGGCATTGAGGCAAAAATACAGGATGGCCTTCAGCTGTTAAGAGGTGACTTGCAGCAAGTGTATTTGAAAGCAGGACAGATCTATGAGTCATTTGGAGGGCACAAGTTGCATCCTTTTCACTGAAATGATGTTTCAGGCCAGACCAGCTTACAAAGAGTGCTCATATCAATATTATTGCTGCCATTTCCTCAGAAGGCTGAAAGGTGTTGATCTCTGGCTAATCCAGATCAAAATGAGCCTCCTTTGAGAAGTTTTCATAAGGAACCTGCTTAAAGCCGGCATTTAAAAGGTAGCCAGCCTAGGAGATGTTCTAGAGTCTACCGGAGTCCTTGTGCCAGGTGTAATGCCATTGAGTGACAGTGACCCTTTGAGCCACTTCCATGAAAGACAATTGAGTCTGGAGGGAACTATAGTCATTTGGAAGCTTACCTTCCTCCCCCTTCCTCTCCTTTTCAAAGTTTTTTAAGACTTCGGTGAAACCCACCTGAAAACCACATTTGACCAGAGAGGTCTAGTTCTGTGACTTCCCACGCTAGCTTGACTGACAGCCACATACTCTACCATCTCTCCAAACCTAGGTTTTACTACCTGTAGACTGGGCGTGTCCCATACACCTTTAATCTCTGTTAACCTGGAGCAGCTCTGGGTCTTTGGTTTACACACCATCGCCATTTTTAAGGACTACAGACAGTTGTTTACATGTCACCACCTGATTTACCAGATGCTTTGCGAGGCAAGTGATTTTTGTGGCTGCAATGGATGCAGTGCAAACACTGTCTAGTCTCTTCAGACAAACAGTTCCAGAAGCCCAGGGTGTTCATCGGTGCCTCCTGAGCCATTCCAAAAGAGATGCCCGTGTTTCCACTGCACAAATACCAGTGATTATCTCTGGGCGATGCCTGGTGTGGGGGCTACTTGCGATTTCCGATGAGGCCAAGGGTTTGTACAATGTCTAGAAAATAATTAGGAAAGATGTGAAAATGACTTATTGAATTCTGAGACTGCTTAAGAATTCACTGGGTTCAACCCGCTGTTTTCTCATAGGAATGCACACAGCTGTTACCGAATAACTGTAAACCTGACGGTTGTTAGAAAACATTGGTGCAATTCTTCCACGGAGGGCCCCATAAATTTGTCTTTGTCCGATGAGTATCAACAAAGTTTACCCATGGGAAAATCGGCCAGTCTCGCGTGTCATCTCGACTTCCCGGACAGTTGTGTCCTGGATTCAATAAAGTGGTATAAGGTAAAAACAAACAAGCAAACAAACAAACAAACACAAATAAAAAAGCAGCAACAGCAAAAACACTCTATTGATACGATTTTCTCCTCATATAAAACCCACTTTCTATTTGAGGTAAAATTGAATCTTTCCGAGCATATTTGGTATTTTGTATCAAGACAACAAGTGGTAGTAACACTGGTAATTGTATTAAATTTACGGTTGTTGTTGTTTCGTTACGCTGTTTCATCTTCTCCTTACCCCCGGTTACCCATTTTTCAGGCTCTCCTTGCTATCCGTTTTTCACTCATTTTGGTTTGTTTGAACGACTCTGGTGTCCTGGTGCTTTGAAAATTACGAATTATACAAAGCCACGCCCAAGAAAGATTCCTGCCGTCCCTGTTTGACGTTACTCACCACACAGGTGGCTGCCGCTGTCAATTCTCATCATAGCCTCATACAACACTGTATTTATAAATTGACACTTGTATCTTAGCCATTCGCCTTTGAAACGTGAACAGAGTTTCTCATGCTCATCTTTCTTAATCTTGTTTTCACTTTAACCTTGACTTTGTCTCGGCAGATGAGGTACAGTTTGGCACTGCAGCGTAGGTCCCTCTATGTACTTCCTAGTCCCCAGTCCAGCCACTTGGGCCGTGAGTTTCTGTTATGGGTTTTCATCTGTTGATCTCCTACCCTCATTTGTTCTGTGGTGACAGGATTACTCAAATGTCTTACTTTTTTTTCTTTGCTGACTTTTGGTAGCATTTTGTTTCCTAGGGAATGGCAAGTTTCATTGGAGGCTTCATGTATACTGGCAAACAATCTATTTTCTCTTTTCATTATCATCTGCTTCAGCAGTGGAGCTAGAGTTTGGTCCTCATTCCAGGGTGTAGTCCCACTCTCCTCCTCTTTCCCTAAGCTGGTGCAACCACCTTTACATGTAAAGCTTGCCCTTCAAAACAAAGCCTTCTGTCCTTTCAGAAAGCCTGCTTGTCTTTGGCAGGCATCCTCTTCACTTGGGTTCTTTGTCTCCTCCTGTGGAATGTGGGAAAGAATGCTCTTAGCACCATTGACAAGTGTGAAGTTCTCAAAGGCATTTGATCTCCAACCTGAGAGCTGCTAGACAGTGAAGATGCAAATAAATAATTCATTCCGCTTCACTGGTTTCACAAATTGCTTCTAAAGTTTCATAGGAATCTGACTTACTAGGCTGATAGGCAATTTCTTGTAAGGGTAGGATAACTTTGCATGTGAACTTTAATTTTCAAAAATCATAGGCAGGCAGATCTTTGTGAGTTCAAAGTCAGCCAAGTCTTCACAGAGAGTTCCAGAATAGCCAGGGCTACGTAGAGAACTGTCTTTAAAAGAAAAAAATCAGTTTAGTGAGCATGAAATGATACCTTGTAGTTGTTATTTTAGTTTTTTTCCCTCTTAATTACCAATGGAATCAACCATTTGTGGAGGTTACTGTCCATTTCTTAATCCCCTTCAGATCTGCCAATGTCTTTTGATGTATTTCTCTCTTAAATTTTTAATTGTTTTATTGTCACTTATAGCAAGCAGATTTTACACATTTCTTTGTTTTGGGAAACAAATGGCATGCATGAAAACTTTTTCATTGACGCTTAAAATACATGTAGAAAATAGTAGGAAACATGCAGGTAGACGAGTGATAATGGATTGTCACAAAGTAAATGCAACTTTAATTGCCTTTACCACCAAGGTCAAGATTAGCTATTACTAATAGCTTTAAAGACTGCCTCTGTTACCTGGAAGAACCAAACCAAACCAAACCATGCCTTCCTCATTCCCAGGAGCACTGCTTTCCTAATTTAGACTCCCACATTAACTCTGCTTCTTTCTGAACTTCGTATTTGATTCATCTGTGCCTAAGTATTTTGTGTTTAGCCTCTTTGGACCAACAGTAAATCCTGAGAACCATCCACATTGCAACCTGTACATCCAGGTAATCATCCACTTTAGTTGTTGTATAGTATTATCATTGTCAGACCCTTGAGTTGTTTCCAGTTACAAGTAAGGCTAGTGTAAACCTTCATGGGCATACCGTTTGGTTTACATATGCTTGTGGTTTTGTGCAGTGTTCTGCTGAAGAATGGAGCAGTTGGGTCGTAGAGAATGTGAGCAATGTTAGTATTCTAATGTGTCTGCATCTGATAGCACAGGGTATGATTACCCTGCTCTTCCTTCCTCTCCCGTCATTCCGCAGTGCTGGGGATGAAACCTAGCGTCTTGCACATATAAGACAATGGCTTTGCCATTGAGTTCCTTGCAGACCTGCTCTTTGTAACATTTGCTTTTCACGTGATGACTGTTCTACTCTGGCTTTTCCACATTTCCTGAGGGATGGTAGTATTTGTTCCTCTTGAGTTTGCTTGTTGTACTTGAATGAGTGAGTGTGTGTGTGTGTGTGTGTGTGTGTGTGTGTGTGTGTGTGTGTATGCGTGCGTGCACCTGCCATGACATGAATGTCAAGCCAGGACAACTTGTGGGGCTCAGTTTTCACTCTTTACCATGTGGGTCCTGAGGATTGATCTCATGTGCTCAGTCTTGGATGCAAGCACCTTTATTGATAAGCCAACTCATCAGTCCTTCATTGAGTTTTTTTTCTTTTAAAAGCATAGTGTTAGCTGAGGCATCACATTTAATTTAATTTTTTTCCATGTGAGTTCATAGTTCACTTGTCTTTTCTTCCTTGCTTTGCATGCCAACTCTGATTTTAGTCCAACTTATATTGGTATGTGGGTCTGCAGAGTATTTTCTTGCATGGCATGTTCTGTTTATCTTCTTAGATATTGTGTCATTAGGACAGGCCTGAAAGTTTGCCCCAAACCCTCTTGCGTTAACTTTCTCCCATGCAGGATATTCATATTCTTCTGCATGCATACACAATTTCATAATCAACTTGGTCATTTTTACAAGATTTCTGAGATTTCCAGTGAGTCTGTGTTGCTCCAATTGACACCCTAGAAGTGGTAATAACCATTCTTGTGTGTGGTAATAACCATTCTTGTGTGTCTGGAAAAGCTTCCAGACTCCTGGGATATTTAAGATATTAACAAATGTCTTTTTGAGTCTAGGGAATTATTCATAATTGACTTAGATTCTTATGTTATGAATCCATGTTAAATTTTACAAAAATACTCTTGACTTTTCATTTTATTTTTTAATGTATTGAATGGTATCTTGGTTGCTTTTCTATTGTTGTGAAAAGACACCATGACCAAGGCAACTTATAAAATAAAGCATTTAATTAGGGTTTATAGCTCCAAAGGGTGAGTCCATGATGTGAGGAAGCACAGGCAGGCAGGCATGGTGCTGGGGAAGTAGCTGGAATCTTACCTCTAATCTACAAGCATGAGGCACAGAGAGGGAGGGGTGGTGTAGGGGGAGAGAAAACTCACCCCAAGTGACACCTCCTTCAACAAGACCATACCCTAATCTTTCCCAAATAATTCCATCGACTGGGGATGATGCATTCCAGCCTAGGAACTTATAGGGGCTGTTTCCACTTAAACTACCATAAATGACAAGATAACATTGGGGATCTTACAGTAATCTTCCAATCCTGGAATCCCTTAGCATGGTGTGTAATCACCATCACATTTAACGTACCAGAATTCTTTTTCTAGAGTTTTGCTTTTGTATCATGAATGTTGCTGTTCTGAGCTCTTGTAGCTTGTGCTATATCTATGTCAGATTTTCATACATAGGCAGTCTAGCTTAGTGAAGTGCATAGAGTGAAACTTCAGTGTTCTTTACTCTAGAAATGTCTCATAGTTCTAGAAGAAATTACAAAGCGATAAACCCACTAGCTGGCCCACTATGGTCTTCAGTAGTGACATCACCCAGGATTTTCTCTGAGTTTTCAGTGTCATGTACTGCTGTCTTTAATATCTAAAGGGTTATTCATCCTATCCAGTTCTATTCATGACAGAGTTAATATGTTATGCTCATTTAGAAATTTTGATTTAGATACGTTAAGATGATACTATCTGTAACATGTAGTCTTCCCTGCCAACTGCCTGAGCCCTGCCACAGTTGCAGCCCCCATATAACACACGAGACACTATATTAATTATGAAGCTGTTGGCCATTTGTTATAGTTTTTCATTGGCTAGCTCTGACTTAATTATTGACCCATTATCACCAATATATATTTTTATAAGGACTTATCTTTCCGAGAATGCAGACTTGCATCCCCTCTTCCTGGGAATCACGTGGCGATGGCTCCCTTCACTACATTTCCCAGAATCCTCCTAGACTCCTAGTCCCTCCTATCTTGCTTCCCTGTCAGCCAACAGTGCTTTATTTACATATATTCAGGACTTCCCCATCAACCATTGAAATATATTTCTATTTTCTTCTTAATGTTCATGGAATTTAATTTCCAGTGCCTTGTAACTTCACTTCCTTCTTTTGTTTCTTAGTTCATTACTCTTGCCGGGGCGTGTTAATTTCATAGGTATTTTCAAAGTACTAAATGCAGACCTTGTCGATCTTCTCTTATTAGTTTTTTCTTTGTTTGCTTCATCGATTTCTGTTCTTGTCTAGCTCTCCCCACAATATTGTTTGGTTTTTGGTTTAAATTTGCTATGATTGTATGAATAGTGTGAGATAGACACTTATATCATTAAGCCAGAGTTTCTTTTTTTTCTTTTTTCTTTTGGTTTTTCGAGACAGGGTTTCTCTGTATTGTCTTGGAAGCTGTCCTGGAACTTGCTTTGTAGACCAGGCTGGCCTCGAACTCACAGAGATCCACCTGCCTCTGCCTCCCAAGTGCTGGGATTAAAGGCGTGCGCCACCAACGCCCGGCCCAGAGTTTCTAATATATAGATTTAAGGTTGTGGCTTCCTTTAAAACCGTGTCTTGGTTGATGTCTGCAGGTTTTCACCTATCATTCTCTAATCACCCCACTCAAATCATTTCAATTTTCCTTGCGATTTCTTCTTTGACTCTAAATGTTTTTGAAGGGTTGTTTAATTCACAAGGGTCGTAGTGTT